GTGACCAGGAGACCAGCTAAACAAGTCGTAAAAGCTTCTCTTCCCTTATCAGACATGTAGACCTCTGGTTTGCATGCAGAGCATGTAAAGGCACTGGGCAGGCTGGATTTCATCTATGAAGTACTTAAACTTTACATTTGTACATACACTGTAAAAATCTTATTAAGGCAATCTATAAATGTTGGGCTTCATCTCTGGAATATAACTTTAGTCAGTGAGTAAAATGTGTGTAAACGTTGTTTGAACATCCAACACAGCAATAAAACAAAACAGAACATTTACTCAGGCGTCTATTTAGATTGTCCCTAAGTTATTCAGAAGCATGCAGTTCTCCTTGTGTTCCCCTACCACACTCCTAGCAGGAAGCCAGGTGTCTGATGGTCCCCACATTCCACAGCAAGGCAAAGAAAAATAAAACTTTTCCTAGGCAGACAGATTAAAGACCCCTGAACAAACCTGATCCACTGATACAGTGGACCCTCAACTTAACGGAATTAATCCGTATTGTAACAGTGGCTGCAGGTCGAAAAGTCTGTAGGTCGAGGCTCCATTGACCTACAATGCAGTGAAAACCGATTAATCCGTAACCGGCTGTTTTTGTTCCATTTTGGTGGGTTTTTTTTTTTCCAGTCTGTAGGTCGAATCTCTGGCTGCAAGTCGAACCTAAATTATGCGGCCAGAGAAGTCTGTAACTCGAAAAGTCTGTAAGTTGAGCCGTCTGTAAGTCGAGGGTCCACTGTACCTGTGATTCTGTGAATCATTAGCTCCACCATCACTATCTGTAACATGATATTAACAATTTCTCAGCATTGTGCCAGCTTGTAAGTGAGTGACAAACAACTTTTAGTGAACAGCGCTACACAATAGCACGGCTGAATCTGTTGGCAGGCCATTATGTCAATTGATGTTAATGATTTATGTCCCATCCTTTCCCTCAGGCGAAATATCACTAGGTCCAATAAGCAGAACTCTCCTTGGTCTTCCTGCTCATGCAATGACTTGCTGCAAGAGCATTTACAGAGGATAGATATCCTATTCCTCCTTGAACGAGCCATTATTGCTGCTGGGTACACACCATCGGCAGAATGGAGAGTGGGCAGGGTTGGAGTTACTGTCAGCACACCACTGACACTGTAACAGTCAGCAGGATTCCTCTCCATAGGTTTACTCGAGGGTGCATGGTTGAGCTGCAGTTCTGTGAACAATTGTTTCATTCTACAAAAGGACTGGGCAGGTAGCTTTGGGTGGTTTTCTGGTGATGCAGTGTTGAGGAGTGATGTTTTGAGACATCAGAAACACTTGCTCCGCCATTGTTCTCTCTAGTTGCCCCCAAGTAGTTTTTTGCAAAGCAAGGTGTGCTGTTTATATATTGCCCCATAGCTCTTAAAGCACCCTGTGGGTGGTTTATAATTTAATTATGCAAGGTACATATTGCCACCCCACAAAGAGCTGGGTACTCAATTTACTGACCTCAGAAGGATGGAAAACTGAGGCAACTTTGAGCTGGCTACCTGAACCTATAGGGACTGAACCCAGGTCATGAACAGAGTCTTGATTGCAGTACTGCAGTTTAACCACTGCGCCATGAAACCTCAATTTTATTTTTAAAAAACTAACTATTGACTCTAGTGCTAGATTACATTATCTTTGTGTTCCTACACTATTTTAGCACTAGATCACCTCCACACAGACAAAGTAAGATAAAAATCAATATAAAATTTAAAAATCTCTGATTGACTCCAATGCTTCCATGGTATGTGTGTATGTTTGCATGTATATGGAGAACTTTGGAAAACTGTTCCTTTTTCTGTATCACTGTGCAACTCTAAACAGTCCCAACAGTTTGACAGCAGAATATAAAAGAAGAGCTGGAGACTGGAAGAGGGCATTATCAAAGGACATGGACTGCATCAGATTGAGGGGCCAGTATGGACACTGACACCAAAACAACCCAGGGTATTTTTCTGGTCACCGATACTGAATGCAGTCACAAAAGAGACTGTGAATCAAGCAATGCAAAGCCGAACCAGAGCAATTTGGTTTGCCAATTTAGTTGCACCCTTAACTGTGAGTAAATATGCCTAGGGTTGCAATGCTAGTTTCCATGTTTCATCTTTTGTCTTTCAGGTCTTCTGCTATTAGTCAGATATAATTACATGCAGAAATGGGGTCTTCATTTCTCTCACATATGCATACACACATACTCTTGCAGGTGAGGGAACTGGCAGTTTTAATAAAGTCTTCTGGCATACGAAAGATATAGAATCGTTTTCCCACACACCCTTTTTGTCATAGTCAAATTAGCATGAAGTCCTCCCTGATCACGGTAAAGGGATGGGAACAAATTGGGAGGCTGCAGAAAGAAAGAAAAATATTTTATTTTCTCATAATGCAGGATTTTGGACAGCAGGTGTCAAAACCACTTGGCCTAAGCGAGCAGATGATTGTCTGGGACAAAGTGCTGAGGAACAGAAATGGAGATTTTGGAGAAAGCATAGGAGGGCAGGTGGCCAGACTATTTGTTCTGTTACTTCTTTCAAATTTGTAAAAACACAATTAAGCAGAATTGTATTATTCCATCCTAGTGAGTGGATGTTCTTTGCACCTTCTGGAAGAACTGTGACATAACAATCCCCAGGATAGGTCACTGAGCTTCGTACATAATCACAGTCTTTGCTGGAAGAAATTTTGTCAGGACTAGTCATGCCTTCCTGGAAGGATGCCTCCATTCCAGATGTCTGTTCCCCTGTAATAAAAGGACTGCTCTACTATTCTTCTTGGGACAGATCTTGTAATCCCGAGTAACAGAGGCCCTGCCTTCCTGATCTCATGCTACTTCTGATTCGTACTTTGTTCATGGTCTTTCCTGTTCCTTGTCACATTTAGCAGGCTGCTTCTCTCTCTTGTCTAATCCCTTGCACGCCAGGATGGCCCAGAGCAATAGACCACTGCCAAGAGAAAGTTGTGTGAAAACCTGAGCAGGTTGCTGTCTGTGGAATTCTGGGAGTGATCGTCCAAAAATACAAATCTGCACATTTCTAGTATGCATGGTTCAGACAAAGAGGAGGTTTCAAAATTACTGAGAAGATGTGTTCTTTCTATTCCTGCAAATTGATTTTTTAAAAGAAAAATATTAATATTATTATTTCACATTAAAGGAATCAGGAAGCTTTGATAGAACAAAATGAAATCCTTTAAAATGTTTAATTAAAAATAATAATAAGCTCCTGTATTACCAGGAAATGTCATCCATAGCAAGAATCACAATATCCTGTCCACATGCAGTCAATGGTAGAGATGGTGAGGATAGTGTCTGAATGATTAAAATATCAAGCACACAAAAAGAAAGAAAAGGAAGGAGTGCAATATTCTTCAGCATATACCAGTGATCATTATAAAGATTCAAATATTGATGCAAAATACCATTACATGGAGAAAGAATCCATAAAACAGAAATGTGGCAACGTTATAATGAATATCTTAAAATCCATCATCAAAGAGGGTAATGCTTTTATTCTGCAATCACTCTCTTTCATTCAGGAATTTTATGGAGGCTCCAGATAATTTCTTCCATCTATTATACTTCTACATTTTCTTACTTCTTCCATCTTTTTTGTTTCTATAGACACAGATGCACACAAAATCCATTAAATAACTAAAAATTCATAAAGGAAGAAAATATGGAGTACATGATGACCTTTCATTAGCAGTAAGGAGCTGTTCACCTGGAAATACTCAGCAATCATAATAATATAGTATTACACCTCAATCGCAGGGAAATGAGAAAACTAACAATGTGAGGGTGCAGTCAAACAGAGATGTAGGATTGCATTTGACTGCACTGGAAAGAGTCACTTGGCTAGGAACAGTGTCCCTTAGAACACCCCTTCTTAGGCACATGGGAGTCGTTCTCATCCAGGTCTGATAAAGAGTAGTTCTGCAGAATCAGGCTGGTTCCTGATTTCCTGTACATCATCTGATCACCAGAAAATAGCTCACAATGGACTGTGCCACAAGGAATCCAAAACACAGGATATATCTCCATCTGATCATGCCCTACATCCAAAATATATCAGCCAGAATCCTGTTGGTATTCTACAGCATCAATCAGAAATGTTGGAAACAATGTGCATTATCTTTCTGGCTCTTTGTCACGTGCTCATGCATGCTCAGTTTGTGTAATTGGTTGAAAACTTGGTTGCATACTCAGATGCATGGCAGATGGACAACAAACTATGAAGACTGCTTGCACAATTGCCTTATATGTGTGGTGTTTCTGAATCAAATTTTAACCAGGAAAACAAGAATGGGAAGTTTGTGCAACTAACCCCTTCATTTCTGAGCTTTCTTCTAGCAGTAAGATTAAAATTGTATAGACAAGGTTCTTCAGCATACATAAAAGTGTTTCAGTGCAAAAACCTGACGAAAACTATTTCAGATTCCTAATGGATACTGACCAGTATGTATCTCATGTATCCTTTTTGATAAGTATCAGAATTCAGGACACTAAAAATGAGACACTTTCACCTACTGTCATTGTGATCCTCACTTATTCCTTGGCTTCTTTTAACTCCAAAGTACATTACAATTCCTGCAGCTTCATTTCTCCATTGCATATGTAGGTGCTCGCTCTGAAATAATCAGTATTAAAGAATAACTGTAAAACAAGGAGTACTGTAGTGGTGGAAAGAAAGACCAGCCTAAAATAAAAAATAGGAGAACAATAGTTAAAGTGGTGGCCATGCAAAAGATATACACTTATTGAGTATAAAAGGGGGGGAAACTCTGAGAATCCTTTCTCAGCCATGGTGATCCCCTGCCTTGCATCTCATGTAAGTGGTGGCCATGCAAAAGATATACACTTTTTGAGTATAAAAGGGGGGGAACTCTGAGAATCCTTTCTCAACCATGGTGATCCCCTGCCTTGCATATCATGCCTTGGATTTGAAGTTTCGTAAAAACTGATTTAAATTACTTGGTTTATTTCTTTCTTCTTGCAGCCAGAGGAGCTGACCAATATTTTAGAGATCTGCAATGTTGTCTTTACCAGCATGTTCGCCTTGGAGATGATCTTGAAACTTGCTGCCTTTGGCCTCTTCGATTATCTTCGTAACCCCTACAATATTTTTGACAGCATTATCGTCATCATCAGGTAATGATAACCAAAAGCCCAGAGATGGGAAATGATTCAGGTTTTGGAACACAACTCTCAGAAATTTACAGCTGGCCAAGCCAACTGTGGGATGCTGGAAACAGAAGTCCAAAAACAAAAAGCTTTCCATCACGGTCAAAACTAGAAATGGGAACTTTGTATTTGTACCTCAGGGATATAGATAGGAACTGCAGCACCACAAGTGCTGTGGGCGCCCAGTTCCCTCACACAGAACCAGCCGACTCACTCACTGAGCTCTGCGTGGTGCTATGGCGCTCCTTCAGCATCAGTGTGCCAATCCCAGGAGGAGGACATTCCCTGCCCCCTGACAGCTGACCACTTTGGTGCAGAGGCCAGATGGGGAGTCTCCCCACTCAGTTGATGGGTGGTCGGCTGTGTGGGGGGGAGGAAGCCAGCCGGGCTCCTGCTGGGATTGGTGCATACCACTGAAGGAGGACAGCAGTGCCACAAAGAGCCCAATGAGTAGACTGACTGGTTTGGGGAGAGGGAATTGAGTTCCCACAGCACCTGTAGCATTGCGGTTCATATTCGTATCTCCAAGATATGAATAAAACGTGCCTATAAGCAAAATATGGAAATATTCTTCCCTTAACTTCCCTCTATGAAAAGACTTTCAGCTAGGAAAAAGAGGAAAAGCGAACTGAACTGCTCTGGCTAACTTTCCCCCCAATTTCTTTCTCAATAATATTCTTGCGGGTGAGAAGAAAGTAAGTAGAGTCATCACCTACCCAATGTATTACAACCCCTGCAGGCATACCCTACAGAGAGGAAGCAATTCCAGATGGGGTTTCCATCATGCCTTGCTGATTTCTTGAATTTCATGGGGGTTTTGTCACCTTTCTGTCATCACCTACCCTTGTTTCTCCACCTTTTCTTCCATCTTTTTCTCATCATGGAAAAACTGTTGAGAAAAAGAAGGAATAGCTCTACTATGCTATCTAATTGCTAACTTGAGGGGTTCTTTATGTGGAAACTCCCCCATAAGGTTCATACAGACATTGTATTGCTGACAAACAGAGGCGATTGCTTCACATTTCACAGGCACCAGTACAACACAGACACATTCATTCACCTACACACCCAAACACACACAGAGACAAATCACATGGTAAAATAAGTGAAATGTGTACTTCCTGCTGTTATAATGCATCTGCCCCCCCCCAGGTGTGCTGTTCCTTCAGAGCTTTGCCTATAGTGGTCAGATTTGCAAATACAATCTGTGTTTACAGTACCTTCTGGTGACCTATCACAAAATAAAAGCTAGCTAATCTGCAATATTCAGGGAGAAACAAACCCATTCTAGGATAAACAGACATCTACCTCTTGAGTGAGCTCTCCTTCTAATGAGGTCCTGAGCCATGCAGTCTGAGCCTGTTTATAATTTGCTTCTCATCCCTTCAAAATAATATATTTCTATTTGCTTTCTCAAAATCTTGCTCTGATCCTTGCTGTCTTTCTCTTCATTTTCTTTCTGGTCTGTAGCATCTGGGAGATTGTAGGCCAAGCTGATGGGGGCCTATCAGTCCTGAGGACATTTCGTCTACTGAGGGTGCTGAAGCTGGTGAGGTTCATGCCTGCTTTGCGGCGTCAATTGGTGGTGCTAATGAAGACCATGGACAACGTGGCTACCTTCTGCATGCTTCTCATGCTCTTTATATTTATCTTCAGGTGAGAAGAAGGGAATCTTCCTAAGGAAAGATTGAGAGAATGTCTTTTAAAATACATGAAAACTAGAGCATTAATCAGTCTGAAATCTGTTTTGCTTGACTTTGCTTGACCTCTGCACCTTCTATTCAGCTATTCTGTGCAATTAAACTAGCCTAAGTGAGCTAGTTTAATGGGAATATTGCACAGGAGCTGAACAAAATAAAAATAAAACATCAGGAAAACAACACTTGAAAAGACAATTAAGGGGGTCAAAATGCATTTAAAATAACAGCTCAGGAAATCGAGCTTTCGTTGTCTTAGTGTTTTAACAGCCTGCTGTAGTTCTATGCATCAGGTTTGATGTTCAACCTATTCAAGGATGAGTGGGTTTTTTCTTCCTTTCCTGAAAACAGGGTTAATAATAGTGAGAACAAGTTCCCAGTCAACAGAAGTCTGGGATGATTGGAAACAGGACAAGTCATCTTCTAAACTAGAGCTTGGGAAAGCACCCCTCCAAGACCATCTGTGAAGCACTGACAGCCCCCCAAGCCCCATTATTTACTTTACTCTCTACAACAGGGATAGGTGAATCAGAGAAGTCCACAGGCAAATTTTCTGCCCTAGACATGTTCTGGGGGGACTCAGGGTTTGTCCAAAATGCTTTTTTTTTAATGCAAAGAATGAAACTGGAACTGGCTGAAAGCTCATTTCTGTTTTTGGACATGGGGTTATTTTGGGGTGTTGAACAGTGAGTGCATGGCAGGGAGGCTGTGAATTATTTTGAAGGTGAATGTCCACTCCTGGAGGCATCTAAAAACTGCAGTCCAGCTTTTGCCAGAATAAAAGAGAGGACAACTGGGGGCTTACAAGCTCCTGTGTAGGCTCACTTTGAAGCCCCAGGGCCTTGCTTCGCAGTGGGCAGTTCCCAAACTAGGGTCCCCAGATGTTCCTGCACTAAAACTCCCAGAAGTCTTCACCAATAGCTGTGGTAGCCAGGATTTCTGGAAGTCACAGCTGAAGAACATCTGGGAACCCAAGGTTGGGAACCACTGCTCTAGGGGGTAGGAGGGGCAATTTCACAATATTTTCAGCATTTTTGTTGTGTTTTAGGGATGCAAGGGGCTTTCTACAAAACTGGAAATTACTTTTTCAGAGCAAATATGTCAGGCCAAGAACCTGAGGCCCCAAGCTTGAACATACCTCACCAACATCTGAGAGTGGGCATCTGTTGGCACCCAAACTTGTGGAAGGTGTCCTCTCTTGTTCTAAAGTCATTGCCACATAGCGAATCCTCTCCTCTTCCCTTTTCTGCTCTATCTACTCCATCTTCCAACTATCCCTGTCACTCTGTGTTTCTGTCAACTCCTCTGTCCTAATTATGTTAATATTTCCTACATCTCCCCACTTTCAAGCTCAAATCCAAAATAAGATTTATACATTTTATTGATTTAACATATTTTTGCCCCACCTTTCCCCTTAAAAAAAAACCAAGGTGGCTTTATTATACCAGGGATAAGCAGAAGATAGAATAGGCTCTACTAGTAGGTCTCTGGATGATTTGTAGAAGAATTTGCCACAGTTTTTAGTCTAAACATTTTAATAACAACAATAAAAAGGCTATCTCCACTGTCAGTTACACTTCTGAAAATGAAGGGAAGGGAAATGAATTTTTATATGAACGCAATGTTAGTTCAGTTCTGATGGTTAAAAGAAATTGTGTTCTGGGTGCTGAGAGGGCACCCTATTCTTTCTTTCTACTAGTTCTGTCAGCCTCAAACCAGGAGATAACTCCAGTTGATGGACTTCGCCAAAATTGCTTTTGTGTTGCTCTCATGTAAATGTCTAATACGTGTAACAGTCCATTTGGGCAATGTAAACTACCCCCATGGAAATAGTAAAAGAGGTTTTCTGTATCCAGGAGCAGAATCCTACTGGTATTCACATAAAAGTTCCATAACATGCTGCAACTAATTGTGGCTAATTGACAAGATTTGAGAATGCCTCTCAGTTTTGTGCCCAGACATGCACTCAGCTGTACAACCGGAGATGCTCTGACACTTTAGCAATTAGCTGCAGTCTTTTCTTCTCATCTTTGTTAATCATGTTTATATAAAAACTGTGGATTACTGCAATCTGTCATGTTATATGTTGCTGTAACAACAACTCACCTTTCATTTATCTTCCTGTTTGTGTTGTGTGTTTCAAAGGTATCAGAAATGGTCAAGTTTTACTTTGATTTAATTATCCAGTTTTAAAAAATGAATAAGACTATATGGAGAAATTGGTGGACTATAAAAAAAACACTGAAAGGTGGGGAAATAGCCAGCTTGAGCTATAGAAGAGTCCTTCTTCACAGACTTGTAGCCATAGTATAGAACAACCACAGACATTGTCCTGAATTCATCATCAAATAATAGAACAAGAAGAGTCTAATCGTTTTAAATGCTGTACAAAATACATTTTCTTCCCCACAGCATACTGGGAATGCACATTTTCGGCTGTAAATTTAGCCTCAGGACCGACACAGGCGATACGGTCCCTGACCGGAAGAATTTTGACTCCCTTTTGTGGGCCATTGTTACTGTATTCCAGGTTAGTCCAAAAAGGAGGGCAAGGGGGAAAGGGATCGGGATAGGACCTCCTAAAACAAACCGTTATAAAGAAAGAATGGCCTTTGTGTGGTCAGTTTGGTTGGCATAGCGCTATGTATAACCATTTGAAAATCCGTATTAGGATACTCACTTCATTAGGCCATCTTAAAGGTTACAAACAGTGAGCAAGCTCTGGAGAGTTCGTCATCAGGCAAGGGGTTAAGAAAACAAATTCAGGATGAGGAAAAGAGAGGAGAAAACAAAAGCTGATGTTGAAGTCATGATGTCAGTATAGAATGAAGCAATGAGGAAACTGATTACTTTCCTATTTTTAAAAGTATAAAATATGGCTATTACTCAGAGCTGTCTCTATTCTAAGATTGAAATGTGTGCATCCCTTGGTAGAGGAAAATGGAAAACATTTGCTTCGGGTTTTTATCCTTTAATTCTTCACTGCAGTTTGAAGTTATCACATTATTTGAAAGAACCCAATATGTACGTCTGCAACTTCCTCCCACATTTCACCCTAAGACTTTGAGCTTGCAGGCTTCATAACTTCAACATCAAGTTAGCTTTTTAATTTTACTTCCATTCTCCGTTTTTTTGTTTTGTTTTGTTTTTGCACTGTCTTGTCTAATGAAGAGATATAGAGATCTCAAAGACTTTCACATAGTTTGTGACCTTTCAGTTGGCTTACTAAAGGTATTATCTTAATAGTGGATCATGGACTTTTCCCCATATGGCCAACATGAGCACTTCTGCTTTATGATTAACAGTAGTACAGTAGGACCACAGTATGTTTGTATATATGTATGTATGTATTTACATTTATTTCCCACCCATCTAGTAGCTGGGCTATTCACAGTGTTCGCAGGGAACTGGTTTCAAGTTGCCACCACCGTCCCTTGCAGATGCTGGTAATCACAGGTATAGAGAACCCTATATACTGTATAGCATAGTCTCTGGTTTGTTCTAGTGGCCAGTTCTGGTAATACATTTTGAAAACAAATATTTCTTGGGATTTTTATTTAATATTTTAGGCAATGGATAAGTGAAACTGCAGGTACTGATCATGTAAATACAGAGGTCCTACTGTGCTATTAGAAGGGGATATACACACAGAGCATGCTAACTCTTCTATAAGAGACCCACACGGTGTCTGCTGCTTTCCAGTGATCTGTGAATGACAACTCTCTAGATTTCAGAGAGTGCTTGTGGCACTGGCACAGAACAACACATCCAGATGCATCTCAATTATGATTAACAGTAGTACAGTAGGACCACAGTATGTTTGTATATATGTATGTATGTATTTACATTTATTTCCCACCCAACTAGTAGCTGGGCTATTCACAGTGTTTGCAGGGAATTGATTTCAAGTTGCCACCACCGTCCCTTGCAGATGCTGGTAATCACAGATATAGAGAACCATATATATAGTATAGTCTCTGGTTTATTCTAGTGACCAGTTCTGGTAACAGATTTTGAAAACAGACATTTCTTGGGGGGTTTTATTTAATATTTTTAGGCAATGGATAAGCGAAACTGCAGGTACTGATCATGTAAATACGGAAGTCCTACTGTGCTATTAGAAGGGGATATACACACAGAGCATGCCAGCTCTTGTAACCTACTAATACTGTATTCATAAGAGTAGCTATACTTGCTATAAGAGACCCACATGGTGTCTGCTGTTTTCCAGTGAGATGTGAATGATAACTATCTAGATTTCCCAGTTCTGGTAATACATTTTGAAAACAAATTTTTCTTGGGATTTTTATTTAATATTTTAGGCAATGGATAAGTGAAACTGCAGGTACTGATCATGTAAATACAGAGGTCCTACTGTGCTATTAGAAGGGGATATACACACAGAGCATGCTAACTCTTCTATAAGAGACCCACACGGTGTCTGCTGCTTTCCAGTGATCTGTGAATGACAACTCTCTAGATTTCAGAGAGTGCTTGTGGCACTGGCACAGAACAACACATCCAGATGCATCTCAAAACCAAATAAACCAGAAAGGTTCACGTATATGAATGAACTCTTGAAGACAGACATTGTCAGAGATAGTTTTCTATTAATTATTGAGTTTGTTTAACCTTGCCTCTCCTTTCTTACTTATCTGGCTTTAGAAGGTTGAGTTTTCTCTTTCAGATCTTGACTCAGGAGGACTGGAACGTTGTGCTGTATAATGGCATGGCCTCAACCTCACCGTGGGCATCCCTTTACTTTGTGGCTCTCATGACCTTTGGCAACTACGTTCTCTTCAATCTGCTGGTGGCCATCCTAGTGGAGGGATTCCAGGCCGAGGTGAGTTGCTGTAGTAACTGCTTTCAGGGAACTAGGCCTTTGGGGGAAAGAGATGGCCTGAGAGGGTCTTCTTCAACTTATGCTTTTCAACTGTGTTGGAGTACAATTCTCATCATCCCCAGCCAGCAAGACCATGGTTCCTGTTGGCTAGGAATAATGAAAATTATAATACAACACAGATGGAACAATCCAAGTTGAATTATAAGACATGTATCTTTAAAAAGCTACAAAAGTCCATGTCCTTAGAACTACATGAGATTCATTTCTCCCAGCCAACGGCATAATATCCAATTATTTCTATTAAGGTCTATGTCTTGACTTATACTTCCTCTGCAAAGTGCTGGAATTGCAAGGAAACATCTCCCTTGCTCTCATGATGCTCAAAATTCCCAGGTCTTTGCATTTATTTTCCCCAAAACAGGGTGATGCTAACCGGTCATATTCCGATGATGATCAGAGTTCATCAAATACTGAAGACTTTGACAAGTTCCAGGACAGCTCAGGTAAGAACAGGGAGCATATTAATTCTGCACATCTGTAACGGCAATAAATAAATAAATGTTCAATAAATAAATTATGTTCCATTTCCCAAGTTGGATTTATCACTGAGCCTAAATGCCCACATTTTGGCAGTGGCCACGAGTGCCTTTGCATAATGAACACTAGTTCACCAGCTGCGCCCCTTCCTGGAGAGATCTGATCTGGCCACGGTGACACATGCTTTAGTTACATCTCAGTGGGATTACTGCAATGCATTCTACATGGTCTGCAATGCATTCTGGAAAGTGTCAGGGAACTTGTCTGAAATGCAGCAGCCAGATTGCTAACCAAGGTTGTTCACAGGGATGACACACAACTCCCCTGTTGCAGCAGCTTCACTGGCTGCTGATCCATTTCCAGGCACAATTCAATGGATGGTTGTGCCTTGCTGCTTTGAATGTGTTTTTAGTGTTGCTTTTGTTAACCATTTCTTAGAGTGGTATTTGTTTGCTCCTTTTTAATATTTGTATCCTTACTGCTTTTTAGCTTGAAATATTGTCTTTTACTGATGTAAGCCATCTTGGATCCTTTTTAAGAAGAAAAGCAGGGTAAAAACTATATTAAATAAATAAATAAATAAAAAGTTTAGCTACAGAATGATTTTTTTTTTTTAGAAAAAACGTCTCATATTTTTAAACAAGGTTTCAGACCTGTATAAGTTTACTAGTGTATCAGTCTCACTGAGCTTAACAGGACATGTTTTCAAAGAGACAGTTACAGAATTGTGCTGTTGGCGTTACCACTTCCAGAGAAGCCCTTCTCTGTATCACACCTTCAGCAGGGACCTATTTGAGATAAATACAAGAGTGGGGGATCCCAAGCTATGGAATGCTCTTCAGGAGAGGCCAACCTAACGCATATCTGTTCTCATTCTGACCTTTATATGCTGACAAACTTCTCACTTTTAAGTTGACTTCTTTGCTAAAGTGGGTTCAAAGTGCTGGGTCCTGCTTATGTTTTTTTATTGATGTATTTTTAAATTGTATTTTTAGACAATTTGGTTTTATCTTTTTATATCATTTTTTTGGTCTTACCTGCATTTTATTGCTATTACCTGCCTCGAGCACTGTTTTTAAGAAAGTGGGGTATAAATTTAAGAAATAAATTAATTGAGTCATTTTTATTAAATTTGTAATGTTTTTTTAAATATATTAATTAACTATATGCTTATAATTATTTATTTATATATATTAATTTCATACCATGTATAAGTATTTAATTATATATTAGCTATAAATGTATACAATAAGGGGAGAATAAGCGAGTTCAATCATCTTGGGTCATGGTTAGAATTCTCTCTTCCTCTCTATGTATAAAAAGCTGTAGCAAATTAGAACATTTCTTCATTTCTTTCCTGTGGTTCTTAAGTCAAAATGTTCTTAACTCGAGCCGTTCTTAAGTCAAGACCCCACTGTATAGCAAATTAGAACATTTCCTCATTTCTTTCTTCCAAGTATTCTATGCCTGCAGAATGTTGCACCCTTTCATGCATTTCATGCATTTTGTTTTTCTCCTTGCAAAAGGGCAAAAACTCTGGCAGTGCTTCGCCAAAGTGCATTTTGGTCATGTTGTGGTGGCAATTGTGTTTCTTTTCCCTGAAAGACATGGATCTTGGTTCAGAAAGCAACATCAATTTTCTAGAAATGCCTGGAAATATCAGGAGAGTTGGCTTTCCCCACTTAGTTTTCACAAGAACTAACATAATGATGATGGTGATGATCACCGTGTTCAGACTGCTGATGGGTCTGGGTGCCCACACTGAGTCTCAATCAAACCCCCAGTGCTCAAAATGCACAAGCAAGTCAAAGAGAAATAAGAAATTTGTCTAAAATATAAAGTGGCTATTGATTTAACAAGTCAAAACTGGATCCAGACATCAGTAAAATGATCCATGTAGGGTAAAGGGATAGAGTGTGAGACTAGGACTTCAGGCTGAGTTCCCTGCTTGATTATGAAAGGATATTAGTGACTAAACTACTTGTTAAATATCTCTCATACCTTGAAAACCCTATTAAGGTCCTTATAAGGTGGATGCAACTTCATGGCAAATGTTAACAACAACAGGGCTAAAGACAAGCAGGATTTCTATGATGGCCAGAATGTTTTCTCCATGCACTTTTGATACCAGTTCAGTTCTTCACAGCTTTAACTTACACAGAATACTTAAGACCCTGAATATTTCCACTGAGAAAGAGAAAACAATTCTACAGAGAGAAAGCAAAATGGCCAATGTTGCCCAAAAATGATGGGAGTTGTAGTCCAGCATTTCTGAAGAGCATTAAGTTGCGGAGAGGCTGAGCTATTGCAACTCTGTTGGCTTGTCCTTTAGTACAACAGCCCACCTACTTTAAAAAAGCTTCTTTGCACAGTGAAATTCCCTGCAGCAGACCATTAAAGGTGTTCATTCTTGAAAGGAGAAGAAAAAAAGTCATTCAACATGTTAATGAGCAAACATTTCAACAAGAAACCCAAAACAAGCAAAAGCAAAAAGTCTCTATGGCACTTTAAAGATTAGCTGGTACATTTTAATGTAAGCTTTATGGGAACATGGTCCACTTCTTGATACATACACTATGAGTTAGAATACAAAGGTTATTACATGTTAACATGGTCCACTTCTTGATACATACACTACATGTGAAAACATTTGTGCAAGACTCTTAAGAAACAGTAGTGTTTGTTTTCGATACTTCAGCCAAAAAACTATGGAGCAATGTTGGATCTGAAGCATTTGCATGATAATGAAGACTGGTTTCTTCTTTCCTTCCATATTCCATCTCTGTCTTCAAGAGGAAGGGTTATTGAAATAACTGGTTTCTTCTTTCCTTCCATATTCCATTTCTGTCTTCAAGAGGAAGGGCATAGGTGCCCTTAGGAGAACCTAAGTATGCAGAGAGAGAAAAAAGTATATTTTGCTCTCTCTGTGTCTTCTGTGTCTTTCTGCTCAGATCCAAAGCTTTGTGCAATTCCCATGACCCCAAATGGACATCTCGACCCCAGCTTGCCTTGTCTCAACCAGCCTGGGGCAGCTGCTGGAATTGCTAATCCTTCCTGCAACACTTTACAGCCCGACAAGGTCCTTGTAGCCCTTGAATCACGGAAAAGCAGTGTGATGTCTTTGGTGAGTAGATTTAAATGCAAAGTGGCACTGTCCCCAAGGCCACTCTGAGAATATGATCCTTTATTTGGGGGTATCAGAAAGTAAGTTAGTCTGTATTTATAGTACATGCTTAACTTCTGAGCTGTTGCTCCCAGATTTTAGGGTGGCTATTTTTTTTCCATGCATCCCAAACTTCCACCTATCTCCTCCTGCTAGGGTGGCCACTTACATATAATCAGAAAGCAGGACAAGCTTCACCAAAAGCAAGAATGAAAGAGGACACAGTTTGGTATAAAACAGATGTGTGTGGATGTGCTTGCGTGTCATAGCACATTTTCCTCTGTGTGTGAGAGAAAAGGGGAATGCTTCTAAGATGGGTCTTTCCATCAGCAGGCTTCTTAACTGTAGGATAATTATTTAAATCAATTTAAAAACAAAACTAGTTAGAGAGGGGCATCTTTTTAGTTTACCTATTTCACTATCACTCAGGGTGTAATCAGGTTAGAGAGGGGCATCTTTTTAGTTTACCTTTCTATTTCACTATCACTCAGGGTGTAATCACAGAGTGGTTTAGCCACTTTTTGGCGCACACAGGGCACAGTCCAATTTGATTGGTTTTCTAGCCATGAGATAATGTTCCAGAAATGGCAAACCAACCTAACCCTGCTCCATGCCCAGTCTGGACTTTTTTAGTCCAGGAGCAGAACTGCTCTTTATTTGGAGCTAAGCTGGAGCAGTCATGGCAGGACTGTATTTGTATGGAAGTGATAAAGAATCCCTTTCCAAGGCAATCTTATATCACCATCTAATCACACCCTTAAGACTAAAATCAGGGATGTCTCTGAAAGTAAGGTACAGCTGAATTATACATTTGGGGTGTCACTATAGCTGTTGAGCAGTAGTGACTTTGAAGTTCAGCTGCTCATCACAATTTGTCAGATAGCTTTGTCCCAAGGAACAGTCCAGAAATACAGCACCTGTTTTGATCCATATTGGCAACCGCATTCAGAAAGGTTTCATCCCCAACTGTTCCAGGACTTTTCTAAAAGTGGTGGGTCTAGATTATTCGTTGAAATCCAAGATCCCGCCACCCCAAATATTTTGCATTACTAAAGGAATATCTATATTTTCCTAGGAGAATCCACCCCTGCCTCCAGCTATTTATTGTGTTGGGATACAGAACTCGGGGTGACACAGAGCTTGAGAGAAGTGGCAGATGATGTTAATTAGCTGCTAATAATTAAACAACCCTGGTGCTTGGACCCTGTGAACTCTGGCTCCAGCCCACCACAGTAACCAAATAAGATGAAAAGCAATGAGAAGTCTGGTCTTCATTTGCAGTTCTTTTCAAGAGATCAGCTATTGTCCCCCTACCCCTGATGTTTTTTTATGTCAAATTTAAAGGGATAGGGCATTAGATGTGAAGCTGTGCCTGAAAATGCTGTCTCACCCAACTTTCCTGTTTGATTTGAAGTCCTGAAATTAACTAATTAATTTTGAACTTTTGCAGTCCAGCTCCCGTAGCTCTTATTACGGTGCCTGGGGCCGGAGTGGGGGTTGGGGAAGCCGTCGCTCCAGCTGGAACAGCCTTGCACGAGGACACAGTCTCAAGCATAAGCCTCCTTCAGCTGAGCACGAGTCACTCTTATCTGGTGAAAGGCACAGGATTTTGGAGGGAGAACGAGAAGGGCCAGTGAGAGTTCACCACCATCGACGGACGCTCTCCTTAGACATCAAAGGCTCTTCTGAACTGGTGGAGCTGGCCCCATCCATCCCACCAGGTCACAGGCCAGCACGAAAAGCAGGCGTGACAACAGGGCCTAACGAGCACCAGGACTGCAATGGGAAAATGCCCAACCTCGCTAAAGACATCTTCCCAGAAATGAACAATCGCAAGGACCATGGAGAAGATGAGGAGGAGATAGACTATGTGAGTAACTGCTGTTCTTGGTTGTTAAAAGGGATGTTAACAATTTGCAAATATATATAGAATTTCTCTTCAGTTCCCATGTAAGAATCTACATCTGATGTCTCATGTTCTTCTAGAATAAATATCACTTGCTGCTGCCACTGGGAACTCAGGATAGGCACAAATTCTTCCATGATTCGGCACAGTGAAGTGGAGAAAAACAAGAAAGCAAGCCATAGAGAGAGAATATGTGTAGGCAGGAATGAGATGCAGGCAAGCAAGTTAGTGAACTGCAAGTTAGGGAACTGACCAATGAAGCAGGCTTGCCAGGGTTTTTGAAAAGGTGCTAAGAGAACATGCTTGTGGAAAATAGGAAATGCTGCAGAATTCAAGAGATAGTTTGATATGGATTGACATGAAGCTAATGCTCGTAATTCCAAGTGAAGCAGTTGCATTTCCTTGTTCTTTCAGTTTTACAGTGGCAGGATACTTTTGTCCTTATTTTTGTCTTGTTGTTATGTACATGGAAACAGACTAATACAAGTACCTGTTTGAAAACTACCATATTTTTCTGTGTATAAGATGCCCCCATCTATAAGACGCCCCCCCCTTTTCTAACCCAAAATTAAGAAATCTAAATGGGGCTTAGCAAATATTGGGTAAAAAGGATTAAAGTGCTGCAGGATGGCTTTGATCCCTGCTTTCTCCCTTTGTGCTAAGCCCTGCATGGCTTAGCAAAAGTAGGGGAAAAGGGATCAAAGCAGTTCCACGACTGCACAATTATTTTGATAATTTCCCCCCTTATGCAGCTATGGGATTGCTTTGATTCTTCCCACCTCCTTTTGCTAAGCTCCATGGGACTTAGCAAGCAGAGGGGAAAGCAGGGATCAAAGCGATCCTGCAGCACTTTGATCCCTGATTTCCTTTTGCTAAGGCTTAGCAAGTGGAGGGGAAAGCAGGGATCAAAGCCCTGCAAGATCACTTTGAACCCTGCTTTCCCCTCCACTTGTTTTTTTCTCTTCAGCTTACTTCTGTGTATAAGACGACCCTCAATTTTAAAAGATTTTAGACAAAAGTATAGTCTTATGCAGAGAAAAATACGGTAGTTTAAGCTCACTACTCTCATTGTGTAAAAGAGTGGCAACACTGGAAGCAGAGAGGTGGGGCTAAAGCACCATCTTATGTCCATGCTGACTTGCAGGAGATAAATACTGCATGAATGTAACTGTATGACATTCAGAGGAATCTTCTCCCAAATAAAGGTGCATAGGTTACCATCTCCCAGCTGTATCAATCAGTCTTTATCCAGCTTTGCAGTCCTGCTTCTTTGTGAGTTTCAAACCCCTTGACATTCAAGGGTCTAGTGGACTTTACCAGATGTTATATGAATGTAAGAATAAAGATTCATGGGAAATGTTCTGAGCTGGTTTAATAGTCAATGCCTGTTAATAATGCTAACTGTAGCACAATCAGCAGTGCCTTTCCATTTAAGTCAGAAATGGCAATGCTGATTTCCTCCTTTCTAGGAGGTAAATTGGCTCATTATTCCTGCTGTGGTAGTTCATGGTCCTGATTTTGATGACCCTGGGAGTTATCTTTTAACCTTATACATCAGAGCAGAACTTCTCTAAATACTCTGTCCATGCCATCATCACCCTACAGCTGTGATTTCAAGTCATTTTGGTATCCTGCAGGGGGTATGGAAAGTAGGAAATGAGAAACAGAGGTGAGGAATCAGTAACAAGGAGATTTCTAGTTATTTGTGTGCTAACCATAAAGGGAATTAAAGCAAGTCCTGTGTGAGGAGGGGGAGAGGGAGGGCTCTTGAATATGGCAACTTCTGATGTTCTGCTCCTGTTTCTGCAGAGCTTATGTTTCCGTATCAGAAAGATGATAGAGGCCTACAAGCCAGACTGGTGTGAATTGAGGGAGGACTGGTCCATCTATCTCTTCTCACCGCAAAACAGGTATGGTGCATTGTATGGAAGTGGGGGCAGGGGCAACGAGGGCTAATGACTCCAACTTCACAGGGATGGTGAATCCAGCCCAAAGTTTGGTTAAAAACAAACAAACATTAAAAACAGCTATCCAAGGTGCTGAACTATTTTGATGCTAGGGATAGGTCAGTACCAGGGATAGGCCCTGTAAAGTTCATACTAGAGCCCAGAGTGGGTTTGCCAGACCTGTGAAATCAGAATCACCAGCTTCTGAGATAAAAGCTTAAGTAATGCTGTTCTGCTGCCTCCAAATTCTACTATATGTATAAATAACTTTATCCAACATCCCCGTCTTTCAGTGTACATTACCAGTCTCTCATGCCATTTTATGTCAGATACGGTACAAAATTTATAGCTGTTCAGCATTTTGCCTAGGTTATCACTTACTTTTGCTCTCTCTTTCTGACACCCCTTTCACTCCCTATCTTGAATGCAAAGCTGGTGTTCCACATCTCCCAGACGAAGCATGATGCATTACAGCAGAAAGGATAAAGAAATTGAGGAATTTGTCCTTGATGTCAAAATGAGAAACTCTAAAATGCTCTGCTTATGAACTAGGTGTAATTACATCATTTTCACTGGCTTTAAATTGAAACCAAAGAACTTTAACCCTTATAAAATCAGGAGACTTAACAGTGAAAAGGTTTGAATCCTTACATTTCTCATTCCCTGTCTCCTCACAACCTTAACAGTGTCCCTGCAATCTATTACAAGCATAAGTAGTTTAAAGACAAACAATCTCTCTTTCAGGTTTCGCATCCTCTGCCAAACTATCATTGCTCATAAACTATTTGATTACGTTGTCCTGGCCTTCATTTTCCTAAACTGCATCACTATTGCCCTGGAGAGACCTCAGATTGAACAGGGAAGCACAGTGAGTGACCTTATACGATAACTTGTTCCGATAAACATGGAATTGTTTTCCTGCATCAGTGTTCATGGCACAGACATAGAAATTCTGAGTCTATGGGAAAAATTAAAAATCACATTCACTATATATGGCTTTATTCGGATGCTTCAAAAGCTTTTCTCATATGATGAGAAGGGTGGTGGTTCTCTGTTTTTCCTAAGAGCATTTAAAGAGCATTCTTATTTTTGTGCATGATTTCTGGATCATCAAGAGATAATGGGCGTGCTCCAATAAGTCATCTTTTTTAAAGGACAAGGAAGGACCCATTCCACGTGATAAAATCCAGTGGATATCTGCTTGGATGACAGGACTTTTCCTCCTGTCCACTTTCATGCAGTCCCCACTGGATCAATCTGAAATCTAGGTGGGCACAAGCAGGAGAATGAATTGCCCCCCCCCAGAAGGATCTGATAGGAGATTCTTATGTCCCTGGAAAAAAATAACTGAATTCATCTCATATTCGGTCTTTATGACCAGAGTGGATAAAATACATTAGAGATTAATTGACTGGTCTTCTGCCCGAGATCTTGCGAAAAAAGCTATGTCTAAAGTGCTGGTGGTTTTAAACACTGTCAGTAATTGTAACAGCATTGATTTCAGATTAATTTATGTGAAATAAAGCAGCATACCTATAATAAAATGCCTTAGACTTATCCACATATAATCTTTGGTAGCATATTTAATCTACATAAAGAAAATGCTTCCTATCAGAATGATACATTCTTCCCGTCTTAGAACAGGCACTATTTGTTTATTTTCTTATAAATTTATTTTTTAAATTTCCAAAGAGAATACAAAATACTTAGTAAAACAATCTAAACCACAGTGCACCCCCATACGCACGGGACCCTTTGGAGCAATACTTATCATGCGAACCTCCTTTCCAAAATTGTATTAATTGTTGTTTAGAGGCTTTCCCCTTTCCTTTCACTAATATAAATTCAATAAATCTACCCCAAATAGCATAAAAATATTTGAATTTATTTCCCCTCATTTCATCTTAAGTTCAGTAGTCAATTTATCATTTAATCATTCTGGAGAAAGACTCAGATATGATTATTTTCCTATGGTAGTCTTGGAATTAGTTTTTAAATATAGTCAATAGACTACACACCAAAGGCTATTTTCTTATTCTTGAGAAAAGGCTTGTGAACGTGCACACCTGAACTTTAAGCATATATATATATATATTTAAGTGTGAACATGAACTCCTCACATTCCAGTTTATGACAATCTGTTACAACAAAACTGAGTGACATGCACAGAACCCACTTTTTGTATATGCACAGCCTTACCAGTTGAGTTTGCTGTGATAAAATGCAAAAACAAACAAACAAAACCCTATTCCTACATTGTGTGGCAGTCATTCACACAACCAAGAAGGAAAGAGACTGTAGCTTAGTGGAAGAGCACATGCTTCACATGTGGAAGATTCCATGTGCAAATCCAAGGCTCAGGTGAGAGGTAATGGGAGAGTCCTTTGCCTAAGATCCAGATGAGCCATTGATGCTCAAAGTGGATGATATGGCTACATGTTACCTTTTCTTTATTTATAAATTCTTATAAGCAATTCACCTGGATCTTGAAGTGCTTTAATTACTTGTGGCCTCTATGGTGTATCTGCTTTAATTACCTGTGACCTCCATGGTGTATCTGGGGTTTCTAATAAACTTACATTCAGTTTCTTGATATTTCCTGATCATAGCCTCTAGGCAGCAGATATAGATTTTGATGCTGATGTAGATACAAATATTTGTGGGTGTGCATGAGAAGAAAACCTCAGTCCCTTATTGGTTTGCATACATAGGGTGTGGATTAGGCTACAAAACTAGACTAGGAAGGAAACAGAAAGTTAGATGTGACTTGCAGTACTACATTCAGTGATGTGCTTTGGCAATTAGCCCTAAAGTAGTCTAGATTTTCAGTTCCACTTGGCTTTGAACATAAAAGTAGGCAGCATTTGCCAGGCTTTTAGCAATAATGCAAAGTGTGTAATACTTGCCAGATATATTTTGAGGCTGCCTTTGATTGTTCCAGGAGAGAATCTTCCTCACGGTATCCAATTACATCTTCACAGCAATCTTTGTTGCTGAGATGACACTGAAGGTAAGTCACAAACAGCACCAAGCCAACTCTTATGACATTTTCCCAATTAACCTCTTCCATGCTTTTAGCCTGCCTGGGGAGGTGAAGCTATCATTTGTCCTTCCTTGATAACGTTAAGCTGAAAAGAGATGGCATTTTTACAAGCATTTTTATTGAATTTGCCTCTCTTTTAGTGAATTTTCATAGCCTGTTGTGAAAGGCAAGAAAAGACCTTATTGATCCAGAAGACACAGCTGTCACCATGAGTTGGCTTTGTTTGTCTTCAGTGATGTCAGCACATAACCAGATCTGATTAGTTTATTAAAGTTCATTATATATTACCTGATTGACTAGAATGAAAGAAGAACAAAACTCTAATAAAGAAAAATGGTGTAAGGTATGGGGCGAGAAGTGATGAAAATTTCCACATTTTTTCTTCCATGGAAGTATTCATTATCTGACCTGGTGTAGGGTGGGGTGGTGGTGGTAATTTCACTCCAGAAATTAAAAGGGCAAATAATTATCATTGCTCTACTGCGATGATGTATGAGAGGAGCAAAGAGATCATCACAGCCTTGATAGCTGTCAGCAGCTTTCAGAAAGATACTTGAGAAAGAAGCTCAATTCAACTCTTCAGTGCTTTTTCACATTTTGGACCAAAATGTGAAAAAACACTGAAGAGCTGAATATATATGGGGACCAAAATTGTATTAAATATATAGTATATTTAATACAACAAGTAAATATCCTGATGACCATATGAATGATCAGTTTTCCGTTGACTCCTTGCTTGTTGCCATCAAGTGCAGACTGGATATTTTTACATTGTGCAGCTCTTGGGTGTAGCCAGCTCTGCTGCATGATTGTTTGATTCCCCATGCCCATACATTTTCTCATCTTCTCCAGGTAGTCTCTCTTGGCTTATATTTTGGGGAGCAAGCCTATCTCCGTAGCAGCTGGAATATCCTGGATGGCTTCTTGGTGTTTGTCTCCATCATTGACATTGTGGTTTCAGTAGCTTCTGCTGGTGGAGCCAAGATTCTGGGGGTGCTCCGGGTCCTCAGACTGCTACGTACTTTACGCCCCCTCAGGTGAGATCCAAGGGGTTAGATTTTCTCTTCATTTCCTATATAACACGTCTACTCCTCAGGTCTCATGTTCTTCTAGAGTAAATATGTTAGTAAAAACAAATTTTAAAAATATCAATTGCTGCTGCTGCCAAGAACTCAGGATAGGCACAAATTCTTCCATCGGAGAAAAACAAGGAAGCAAGCCAGGAAGAGAGAGAATATCCATAGGCAGGAATGAGATACAGGCAAGCAAGTTGTGAATTGTATAGGGAGCTGGCCAATGAAACAGGCTTGCCAGGGCTTTTGAAAAAGTGCCCAGAGAACATGCCCATGGAAAACAGGAAATGCTGCAGAATTCGGGAGATAGTTTGGTATAGGATGAATATAGCGGTCTACACAGTGGCAGTTGTGTCATGATACTTACTGAGCATGTCTTAAAGAGAGAGAGAGAAGCATCAGGACCTTCTTTATTGTCTCTGCTTACAGTACTCCTTTTTCAGGGTCATTAGCCGTGCCCCAGGCCTGAAGCTGGTAGTTGAGACTCTAATTTCATCACTCAAGCCCATTGGAAATATTGTCCTTATCTGCTGTGCTTTCTTCATCATCTTTGGCATTCTTGGGGTGCAGGTATTGTTTTTACTACTTTTTTCTGTCCATATGAAGTGCTGGGAAAATACATCCAGTTGTCTATGGTGTACTCCTTTTTCAAGTCGTAACACAGACCTAGTTCAAGAAAGATGTGGCAGATCTGTTAGCACAACAATCCTGTCTGTTACAAAGTGCTGTCCTTGGCAGATACCTAGAGTTCCCTTGATTCTGATATAATCTTTAGCTCTCAGCTAATAATACATGCACAGAGAAAACAAGACTGGACCATATTGTTCCCGAAAATATCAAGAGAGGAAGGTTAGCACTCAGGGGTAAGAGAAGGGTCAAAGTACACATGAAGGGAAATATGCATTCCCTACAGTTAACCCATTTCCCCTCCAACAACAGAATTTCCTCAGAGATGGATTTCCTTAGAGATGAGCGCCATCATAATAAGACTTGTAAATTAAGGCGGTGTTTGTCCTCCAGTGACCTATCACAAAGCATGTTAAATGCAAGACACAAAGGTGAGGAATATCATATGCTATGACAAACCGATGTCTTTCACCATCGAAGATAGGACATTTTTAAACATGTATTGAGTGTCTTCAGTTTCATTTGACCCAAAGATTAAATGGGGTTTCAAAATATGGAAACGATAGTTTCGCTGCTATTAAGAATTAAAATGCTTGAAACAACATCACCCACCCACTTTTAACAAAATGGGTCCTCATTATTTCCTGAGTTTCTTTCTTATTCTGAGCACTGAACCCACCTACAACTGTGTGAAGGAAAAGAAAAGGCAAAAAACTGTCAATAGGTTTGTGCTGCAGGAGTGGGTAGTGCTGCTATCATTGTGCACAACGTGGTGCACTTAAGCCGTAGATACTGTAGTCTATTTCAGGGATGACACCTTCACAGTTTACAGAACTGATGTGCTTCCTCTAACAGGTGAAGTCACCCTGAGTGTTTACAAATGCACAATCCAACCACTTCCTTATGGGAAAACAGAACAAAGAAACAACTGAATATATTTATTTTGAAATATCTGAGCAGTAGGAAACATTTTTTCCACTCTACTAGAAGTGGTATATTAGCCTTAGGTAAGCCCAGTATTTGCAACACAATAATCCAAGGCTGGCCTGGGGAATGAAACTAAGTGATTCCATATGGAACAGCAGTGGGGAAAAATATGTCCTACTAGGTCCATTTTTGCAGCTCTCTCAGCATCTTCTATGATTCCCCACATCTCCAATTTCTCACATCTCCACATTTAAAAATAAAAGCTCAAAATGTCTTAATGTGCCCTCTAGGGAGTATGGGAGACAACTTTGTTGTTTTTCAAGGGCTTCCAAGACTTACACCCCTAAAAAGTTTTTTTTAAAAAAAAAATTGGTCCCTAGAGGGTGTAAGGAGACTTTTTCTATTTTAAAATATAACAATTTTTACAACATGCTTATTTATTTGTTTGTTTGTTTATACAATCACTGCATTCTTTTTTAAATAAAAGTAATAATTAAATATGCAGATTAGGACTGCCAGCTAATCTGAATAATGGCACTAAACTCACTGAGGTCCCCACCCCAATTTAGAGTCATAGAATCCAATAGTGAACATTTTCTCATCATCTGTGCTTGTGAAAAAAATTGGGAGGATTATAGCTCTAAGAATTGCCCCCAGCCAACATCACTACTGGCTGTGTTGGGTGGGAGATTGTGGAAGCTGTCATCCAGAAAACGAACTTTTTCAAGTTCTGCTTCATACTCATTTCTTTTTTAAAATGGACAACAAATGGCAAATTTCTCTTGGTTACAGTGGGCCCAAGTCTGAGTGAAACTTAGTGTCTCAGAAGCAGAAGATTCCTTGTCCCATAAGCAAATTCAGAAACATTATCTTTCCATGCATTCATACTAACAAAATCTCTAACAAAGCTGCTTTTTGCCCCCTGCAGTTATTCAAGGGGAAGTTCTATCATTGCTTAGGAGTGGACATTCGAAACATCACCAACAGGTCTGACTGCATGGCTGCCAATTACAAGTGGGTGCATCACAAGTACAACTTTGATAACCTGGGCCAGGTAAATGTGGCATGCTCAAAGTTACCTCAGACTTGGCTTAGATTTCTCCCTTATGACCATGTACATCTTCAGTTGAAAAGAAAAGGCTGCAACACACATCTAGAGTTATATTCTTAAGATTCTCACAGTAGTAATATTAGCCCACAATTGTAACAACAGGTAAAATAGTAAACACTAGTTCAACATAAACTTAATTCCTGTGTTGAATTTAGGGGGATATAAATTGTTAAACATTGACTTAGATCACATGTAAATATTTTAGAATGCATGACATGTGTAAACAAATATGTGCAGGATGTGGTTAAAATGTCCTAAGTACATAATATTGTAAATGAAACGTTGCTTTAAAATCTATAATTCTGACTGTTTCCCTTCCAGACAACTAAGCAATAAATATTGAACATGAGCTTTGTATATTTTTAACCACAGTGCTCCAAATCCTCATCTTCTATAACTGTTAGGGATTCTGGGAACTATGGTCCCAAAAAACAATTTCACTGAGGTTTGCCCTGAATACGAGGAGCAGTGAAGCAGGACTATGATGGCTGTTACCATTCCTGGGCTCCATGCTCTCCTGCAGTTTCCAATAGCCTTCCCAAACCCAGACTCTTCCAGATATGATGCACTATCCTCTTTCATTCCTACTCAGTACAAGCATGCAGTTTGGAATGGGTAGTGGGAGTTGTTGTCGAACACACCTGAAAGGTGCCAACTTGGAGAAGGCAGGTCTACTGACTTTCTATCATGCCGTGCATATTGCCAGTCATTAGCCAGTTTTGCAGCTCCCCATGTTCACTGAGCCCTGTTGTTTGAACAAGCTGGCTGCTTTTATAAATTTGTGCTGTGTTCAACACTGAGAGCCCTGATGGAAGTTTACAAATATAAGGGGCAGTAGTCTGTGGAATGAATCTGGAGCAAATCCCTCTTTATGAGGCTGCCCATGTGTTAAGATCATCAGGAAAGGCCTTTCTTTCTGTCCTATCATCTTCACAGGTGTGTTTGGTGGGGACATGGGTGAGGGCCTTCTCTGTTGCTGCTCCCAGACTCTGGAACTCCCTTCCACAGGAGGCCAGATTGGTTCCATCTTTACTGTCCTTCCTCAAGCAGATGGAACTGCCTCCCACAGGAGGCCAGACTGGTTTCATCTTTGCTGTCCTTCCTCAAGCAGATAAAGACCTTACTCTTTAGGCAAGCTTTCCCATAGTGACTGGCTGTCTGAGGGGTTTTTTTTTTAAATACTGTAGAAGCTTTCCCATAGTGACTGGCTGCCTGAGGGTTTTTTTTTAAAATACATGATTTACCTTACTGCTTTGAATGTGTTTTGGTGTTGCTTTTGTTTACCATTTTAGTGTGGTATTTGTTTGGTACTTTTACTATTTGTATACTCACTGTTGTTAGCTTTAAATACTGGTTTTTACTGATATAAGCTGACTTGGGTCCTTTTAAAGGACCCAACAGGTAAATGCAATTGTCCTCCTGCTTTGCTTTTATGCAATCAGGTACTGGCCAAAGAAAGTAATCATTTAAAATGGAAAACAGCTATTTATACAAAGATTGAAACATAAGAGAAAGAAATGTTATTGCTGAAGCTGTAATAAAGGTTTCATGTTTGAATTGGACATTAGGAAACACATTTTTACCAAAAAACTGCATCTGTGGGATACTTTAAATTTCTGATTAAATTATTCTGATTTATTTCCCTGTTTCCATCTACTGTAAATTCATTTGAAATCCGCCACCCATTCTGAATGTGTTCTCAGCAGATTCTGCACATTCCTCCCACATTCCTTTCCTCACAGTTTGTGGAAAGGGGTCTTCTAAAGTCCTTTTGAATCTTCTTCAAAGGCTCCACCTTTGCACTTAGTGAGACATGGGGGAACAGGAGTTGGCAGAGAAATGCTCAGAGGCAGTAATAAAAGGCGATAGTGTGCTTAGTATCAAGCAGTTGCTTCTGATGTTTTTCCTCAGTTTCCCTATTGTGCATTCCTTTGAATACACAAGATTTGTGACATTTCAGGAAATAAAGGATTGCTGATCCATCTTATAATGATAACTTGTTTTAATCATCAGTCTGTCGGAGCTGATCTGCTGGTTCTCTGCTGGAAGAATTTCATGTAGGGCAACTGTGACTCTTCTTCCTTCTGTGTGTGTTTCTCTCCCCCTCTTACTTTTGCTCTCACAAGCAAATGTTTTTCTCTTCTCCTATAATCCCTTCCTGGCCAGATTTCAGATCTGGGGAAGGGAAGCAGAAAGAAAGGTTTCCTATGGTTTGTTTGTTTTTCAAATTCATTTCTACGTGTCAGATGTAAACCTCTTGAATCAAACTATAACCCATTTCACAACATGCTATAATTTCATACATTGCAGGCTTTGATGTCGCTCTTCGTACTGGCTTCCAAAGATGGCTGGGTCAATATTATGTACAATGGACTGGATGCAGTGGCTGTTGACCAGCAGGTATAGAAGCTGCTTCATAAACTGATCAATGTTGTTTTGAGCTTTATTGTTAGCCATCTCTGGTGGCTTGTGATTATTTTTGTTGTGCACTTCCGAAAGTGGTGAAGTGTTTCATAATGAATTTAAGATGGTTTGGTTGATCTCTGGATGACACAGTGTTAAACAGCTTTATTTATCACAGGTATGGAGGAATGGAGAGGCATTTGAACTGAAAATGATATTCTACCTCCTTGCTTCCCTGCATACATGGAACCACCTCCCAAAACACATATATACTCAACATCTCTCCCTTTCTTCAGTTCCTGCCTTTCCTTATGGCCTTTGGCTTACATTCTTCATGCCAGTGTCTTCTTTGAACTAAACTCCCAGATTCTCTAACTAGTGGCCATTTTATTAAAGAATTCTGGGAATTAAGAGCCCAGAAAAGTAACTTTTCTAACTAGTCTTCCTCAAGATGAGAACCTCGAAGTATAGAGGGTTTAACCATTTTACCTCTGCTAGAGTTGTGGCAAAAAAAAAAAAACACCCTCAGGATTGAGTCACTTTGTTGGTGGATGATATTCACTGGGGCTTTGGAGGAAGTAAATATGGGCTTAAACCACAGTCCCAAGGATGATTCTCCTGCCATCTTGTGGATCTGCTACTTAAACTAAAATTTAAAACTTCCCAGAGACACATTTACCATTTTGTGTAGTTTTAACCTCATACCTTCTGTGGCTACTAGGTGTACTTGGCAGACCATTGAGCCAGGGTGAGTTGGCTGGGGGCAGAGCCACCACTGCCACTCACCTCATTTCTGCCTAAACCAATTTCCACCTGCGCTTTCACTAAGAGATCACAGTGCAGCCATTTTTCAGTCCACCTGCGCTTTCACTAAGAGATCACAATGCAGCCATTTTTCAGATGGCTATTTAAAATAACAGCTGGCTCCAAGGGGGTCATTGGGGCCAAGGTGGTGGTTCCCAACCTTGGAAAAATTCCCAGAAGCCTTCATCACTAGCTGTGCTAACCAGGATTTCTGGGAGCTGTAGTCCAGGAATATCTGGGGACTCAAAGTTGGGAACCACTGGGCCAAGGCACTGTGGAAGGTTTAGCCAAAAACCCTCTGCTGGTGGTGGTTTCTTCTCTCACCTTCCCTCCATCCATGTGAGTGTTTCTATCTGGTTGGGGAAGTGACAGGAGGGATGGCCAACCTTAGGTGGCAGGAGAACCTGACCCAGCCTTGTATTCAAATTCAGAGTAGCTCTCTTGAGACACCTTGCCAAACCATTAGGCCCCGTTGAGGAAATAATTGCTGATAATCAGTGAAGAATTGCAGGCCATCTGAGTACGTATACAAAATTGGTCATGAAAGAGCAGTTACAGGTTTCTTTTTCAAAACATTAAATGCCAGATCTTTCCATCTTCCTCCATTTTGTTGTCACCTTCCTAATTTACTGTAGGTTAAGCCAACATCCCTCTCTGTGTGTTTGTGTGTATGTGTGTGTGCATATGTGCCCAAAAAGCTAGCCTGGAAAAAAGATTCTAGCACATCCATGTTGATTCCTTTTGCAAAAACATGCTGATTGCCATCGTCTTATACATCCCATAATGGTTTTGCAATAGCGCCTGTTCTGTAGGGCATGATGGCATGCTCTTCAGGCTCATAATCACTTGCTGCAATTTCCCCCATCAGCAGGGCTTCCGTTGATGGCAGCTAAATCCTGCTGCTGTTCCTGTTCCCTTTAATAATGCACAATCACTTCCCTAATGCAGATGCCAGTCACACAGGACAGGACCAAAGGGCATAGATGATGTATTACACCCACACTGTGATCTCTCCCTGGTCTTTCATCTGGTTTTGTCACTCCTTCGGCGAGAACCATCCCTAGCACAACCTCACAACAACTCTAAGGATGTCTGAAATTTATCGTAAATAAAGCTTAAATATATATATATATCTGTAGGAAAAATACCTAGACAGTGACCTTAATAAAGACAATCGGGAAAACAAGTGTGATTAAAGAGAGAGAGAGAGAGAGAGAGGAGTGTTTGTGTGTGGGCAACTGTTTAGTCACTTGTTGGTGGGAAGTAGTGTATAGATTAGCACAGATCCTCAGGGCAATGCTTTTATTGTAGGCATACTTTCTCAGCAATTTATTAGCAATATTTTAAACCTGGAAAAGGGCAATCCCAACACAACATATCCACCATAGTTAGTGGACAACCAATCTAAGGTTCATCCTAAAAAGGTTCCATCTTTTGCAGATGCCTCAGTTTGAATACTCCCCCAGACCCTGGTCTCTTACTGTGATTGCTACATGGACTGTGGTTGCAGGAATGTTGCAAGCAACTATTGGATAGTGCCTGTGACAGTAGTCATCAGTATTGTGCTCTTCTATAACATTTGTGTCATTTTGCAGGGTTTTTGTGTGTGGTATTTATTTGATTTCACTTCTTTAGAGATAAAAGTTTCTCTTGCTATGCCACCTACAATATGTGCAGAAATGCTGCCTTGGCTATTTTATTCTCATAGAAACAACTCCTTGACATTTCATTGACCCGTTGTTGCTGATTCTCCAGCTTAGTTATCTGAAAGATATGTGTTTTCCCTTTATGGTTATGATGTTTGTTGAAAGCGCTAGACAAGAGGAGGGCTTCTTTCTCCCTTGTGCTGTGAATGTCTCTCTTCTCTTTTTTTAGCACACAGAGTTTTATGTTACTGATGTAGGGTTAATTCTTCCATAACGTATAGCACAACGAGAACATTCATGGTTTTAAACAATAGCAACATAAACAATCATCTTCATCACCTGTTTACCTTGCAGAAGCTCTCTTTGGCTTCCTTTCTCAGATGGGAAATAAATCACACATAAGAGACCCAAATTCTGCTGCTATGCCTCTACTATTATCTAGTATTTAATTGCCCCTTTACTTGACAATGGCAGTGGAACATTAATTCTTTATATTTTCATTGCTAAATGAGGTCTTCTTATTGTGCTCCAGTTCTCGGTTACTGTTGCTGGAATTCTCTGAGTTTTCATATAAGATTTATGCCATGGCTAACTGTGGCTAATTGACGAGGTGACAGGGCACATCTCAGTTGCATGACTGGGCACATGAGTTGGCATGCAACTGAAATTTGTGGCATGTTACACAAAACATATGTGAAGACCAGTAGCTCCTCGCTTGTAATTATCCCAGCTGCCAAGATTAGTATCTGTCTACTAATAACTGTCAAATAGCTGTATTACCACCACCACCAGTCCCCCAATATACAGACCACATATTGCATAATTTGATCCCCATTTGGTTGTCGCACCTCAATTCATTGTAATCCATACACCAATCCCACATAGGATGTCACCTGCACTCTTATTCTTATAACCCAGAGAAGGAAGCACTGAGGATGAGGTCCAGTGATTTCCTTAAAGCAACCTAACAATCCAAGGGCTTTCCACTTCAGTACTCATAGGAGCTCTAAATCATGATATTGCTCTGGCTGTTGTGTTAGAGCTTTCATGACACAAAGAACAGGTGCATATTACTGATTAAAATATTTTTGTTTGTACGTATAAAACCATGCCTTCCATGGGTGCTGAAAACAAGAAAACATGTAATAATGGAAGGATTTGTATTCTTGAAGGCTTTCACGGCCGAGATCCGATGGTTGTTGTAGGTTTTTCGGAACACGGCCAAACAGCCCGAAAAACCTACAACAACCAATGGAAGGATTGCTTTTAAAGATAATTTGCAATGAACCATCCATGGGGTTCTCTGGTACTTAGGTGGGAGAAGGATGTGTCCTGCATCATCTTTCTGTGAAATTTTATAGACCTCCATTTGTTATAGCAGTAATTGTAAAATATAAATCCTAGTTGGTCTTCCTTATTTTCCAAAATCTCTGATGTCTTGGCCTTTCCCTTGTCATTTTCCTTTCCATAATTTCTAGCAGGCTAACCAGAGGCTTTTGTTTGTTTTTGCCTCAAAAAAAAAAAATCCAGCCAGTGACCAACAACAACCCTTGGATGCTCCTTTACTTCATTTCTTTCTTGCTCATCGTCAGCTTCTTCGTGCTCAATATGTTTGTGGGGGTGGTGGTGGAGAACTTCCACAAATGTCGGCAACATCAAGAGGCAGAGGAGGCCAGGCGGCGGGAAGAGAAACGCCTGAGGCGCCTAGAGAAGAAGCGTAGGAGTAAGGAACAACCTAAATGTCGTGTTGATTTGTAAGCTGAGGTTTTCTGAGAAAAACCTTCTCCTCTTCTTTCTTTTTTTAAAAAAACACCCGGATCAATAGAATGTGTAGGTGGATGTCAAAACTCTCAGAACTGCTTGCACCTTAATGGGATATCACTGAGGTTCTACCAAATGCTGCATTCACCTTGTCCCTTTCTCATCCCTGAGCCTCCACCCAAGAAATATGCTGGGTTTTCCCAACAGGAGTAAAGTTCTCTTTTAAAATCTTTTAGAAGGCTGGATAGCTCAGTGGTTTGGCTGCCTGGCTGCGGAGCTAGATATTGGGACTTCGATTCCTGACTCACTGCGCCTCCAGCAAAGCAGAGCCAGCCTGTGTAGCCTTGGGCAAGCTGCACAATCCCAGGGTATTCCCAGAAGAAAGGAAAGATAAACCACTACCTGGGAAACCCCTAAAAGGGTTGCCATAAGCATTAATTGACTTGACAGCACATTTATTATTATTATTATTATTATTATTATTATTATTATTATTATTATTATTATCATTATTATTATTATTATCATTATTATTACAGATAACTCTTCCAAATAATTGAAATATTGGCACTCCCCTGAGGAAATGGGGCAATGGAATAAAGCAGTTTTTGACTGGCTAATTCATGTTATGCCAAGAAAGAAAGAAAGCCAGATCTTCTCTTGAGCCTTGATGTTTCTGTAATTGTTTCAGTGGTCTTTTCCAAAGACAGCTGTGGTGTGTCCCTAATGTGTGCTCTTTTAACTTAATGAGAGAAACACCAAGACTGCATCTGTGATCTTAGTTCAGCCCATCCTTCCCTCTCTTCCTCTTTCCCCACATCTTCTCCTGAAAATTCTTTCTGAATGCACTTCCTTCCCAAAAGCATGGGGCTCTTTAACCTTTTTCCTTCAGACTTCCCTCTTCTGGAGTTGCTTGCTTCCTTTTATGATTTGTAAATTTAATTATTCAGTGCATGAAATGCTGATTTAGTATCATTTCCACAAACATGTGACTAACAGATTCTTTCTGTCATTCTCCCTCTTTCTTATCCTCTTCCCTTTCTCCCTTCACTGATTCACCTCCATGTCTGTATTATTTCCCTTCCTTGTTTTTCTTTTTATTATATCCTTTACATGTTGTTTGTGTTCCCTGTTGTTCCTTTTTTTCTCTTGCATTACTTTGCTTCCTTCCTCCCTTCCCACCTTCTCTTTTTTCCTCCACCTTTTCCCTCTTTCCACCCGTTCCATTCTTGTTTTCTCTGTCTTTTTCTGGATGGCTTCTCTGCACTCCCATTGAAGAAGCGCAGCGCTTGCCGTATTATGCCACCTATTGCTCTGTCCGCCTCCTCATCCATTCGGTCTGCACCAGCCACTACCTGGACATCTTCATCACCTTCATCATTTGCCTCAACGTCGTCACCATGTCCCTGGAGCACTACAACCAGCCAATGGTGAGTGTGTTCAATGGACTAAATCATTCTTTCTTCCCTTTTTTTCTTTCCCTTTGCTCACCTTTTCCTTTGTCATTAAGAGAGCTTCTTCTTACAATCAGTCAATTGAATCAGTAACTTTCAATGAAAATGTGTCAGCCATCAGCAAATGATTTAGGAATTAGAAGCCTATTCAGCATGGATTTCAGAGAAGGGTTAGTCAGAAAAAAAAGCTAATCCTTCAGATTCATTGTCCTGTTTTCCCCTCTTTTAATACATACAATAGACAATCTCACTCAACATGGACACCTATTTAGACTGGTCTAGAAGATCCTAGTCTGGTTTAAAAGCTGACTAGATAGTTCAGTGGTTTAGGTATCTGCCTGTGGAGCCAGAGGTTGGACGTTCGATTCCCCAATATGCCTCTAGGGAGAAGAACCAGCCTGTGTGGCCTTGGGCAAGCTGCACAGATCGAGGATGCCCCCAGAAGAAGCAATGGCCAACAACTTCTGTATATTCTGTACTTAGAAAAGCCTGGACAGGGTCACCATAACTTGGAATTGATGACTTGATTGCCCATCATCAGCACTATCATCATCATCATCATCCTAAGTGGGAAAGAAATATGTGCAGCTTTTTTTTAATGCAAACTTAGTAAACTTACACTGCCTGTGTAAGTATATTTTCATCATCATCATCATCCTAAGTGGGAAAGAAATATGTGCAGCTTTTTTTTAATGCAAACTTAGTAAACTTACACTGCATGAACAGTTATATGCCCCAGTGGAATAATTGTGTTAGTCTGCCGCAGTGAAACAAGCAAGCAAGCAAGCGAACAAATCTAATTCTTGTGGTATCATAAATACAAGTAGTTTTACTTCCATAAGCTTTTATGGATTGCAACCCACTTGTTCTCAAATGGAGTGGCCTGTCATTCATGAGAAAATACTGAAGAATAAATTTGCAAGGATATGTGGTTGGAAGCTTGATGGATGAACGGACGGACGGACGGACAGAGAGAGAGAGAGAGAGATAGAATGCTGAGAGGTTAAATCCAATTATTAGTCCCTATAACAGTAAATAAAATGAATACTGTATATGGCACTTGTTAAGTACATTGATTCAATGTGTCTAATTCGGTGGAGGCAGGGCTGGATAGAGGACTTGATGGATGAACGGACGGACGGACAGAGAGAGAGAGAGATAGCATGCTGAGAGGTTAAATCCAATTATTAGTCCCTACAACAGTAAATAAAATGAATACAGTATATGGCACTTAAGTACATTGATTCAATGTGTCTACTTCGGTGGAGGCAAACCAGTGGATTTAACATAAGGTATTTAATTTCTAAGATCTGAGGTATCTAGGACTGTGGTCATCAACTTACCTTCCCTTTCTGTTGGACTTCAGAGCAAATTTGTTCTGTATTCCTACATTTTGTATCATGTATAAAAGTATCAGAATTAAACTGAGCATGCCATACCACTGCACCCCAGGCAACTTTGGTTAATGCTACTAAACTCAGTACTCCATGTCCCTGCTAGAACCACCAAACCTTAAGCCAAGACAGACCTCACTCTGCACCCTCCTATATGTTACTTCTCATCTCTTAAGCAGGACCGATTATACAGTACTTTCTTAATGAAACACCAAAAATACTTTAAGATGCTCAGAGGTCAGGAACTACATACATGCCAGAACCTCAGTACTCCATGTCCCTGCTAGAACCACCAAATCTTCAGCCAAGACAGACCTCACTCTGCACCCTCCTATATGTTACTTCTCATCTCTTAAGCAGGACCCATTATACTTTCTTAATGAAACACCAAAAAATACTTTAAGATGCTCAGAGGTAAGGAACTACATACATGCCAGAACATAATTAGCCAAATTCTGTTTGCTGTGTCACAAGAGATTCATGCAAGTTCACTGGATCTGAAAAAGACCACTACCTGCTAAGGAAAAGTTTCCTAATTTCTTTGACAAAACTGAACAAAGCTGCCAGCAATAGGAGAGTCTCTGTGAGCAATTCTCATTTATTTACTGCTCCGTTGTTATGATGAAAGCAACCCTACAATGCTGCTGATGAGAGCTGAGGTGCTTCAGAACGATGTTTTGATCCTTTTTAATACCACCCACACTTATTCAGATGAGCGGAGAAGGCTCAGAGCAGAAGAATAGTTGGATAGCTTTGTGGTGTAGAATGCAATATGACTCATGGCTAGCGCAGTAGGATGCAGCCTCATCGTCTGCCAATTTTTGCATAATTTGCTAAAGTAATACGTGCAATCTGTCTGCATGTAATACCATATCATGTCCTGGTTTACACTCTGTTTTAGAGTTTTGTTATCTTTTGTTCTGCTCTAAATTGAATCCTTTCAAAGTAACATTGCATTTATTATCACAGTATTTCTAAGAGTTAGAATTCCTATATATGGACATATATTCAGCATCTACTACTGTATTTTGCCCTTCCAGTTTTTTCATGGGTTTAAAAGTTTGTTTAATTAAGACTATAATCCTATGCCTATTAACCTAAGCAGTGAGTGTCACAAAACTCAGTGAGGCCTACTTTTCTTGAGGCTGAAATCCTGTTACCTAGCACAGAAAGCCTCACTGAAGTAGGTCTATTGGATCAGTGGGGATTTGGTGAGTCTTTGTTAAGTTTCACTGATTCACATGGGCCTACTCTATTGTGACTTACATATAATTTCAATCAATAGAACTTGCGGAGGACTTCTCACCAAATCTTCAGTGATTCAATGGGTCTACTTGAGAGTGATTTGCAACAGGTTTTCAGCCATAGCATTGTACTGCAGATAATTGCAATTGGATATTTCCCAGGGACCTTGTTCAGACTAGTCATTGCAAACCCTTTTCAGTCCTTGTACCTTTAAGGTTTCTTCTTCTGCCTAAATATAGGGACCAAAAAAAAGAGAGATTTTCTTACAAACAGCACAACTAGCAGGGCATGCAAGAAGAAATTTAACACTGAATGGAGTCACTTTAAAAAATATTAAGCTTGCAGCAAAAGCACTAAAAGTATAGCTACTTCTCAATCATGTATGCATGTTATTTTATCATCAAGGAACCTTGGTCAAAAAGCAGACTCTTAAGATAACTGAGGTACACCACAGCAGACAGACTGCTTGATGTGGCTAGTTCAGTGTTCAAGGATACAGCTAATACTGTACACAGATGCACTTGCAAAGAGAAAAAGCTGTGAGGGTTCTTCCTCCAAGTTGAGGGCTGCTGGTTCTCTCTTTCAGTCCCAGGCACAGCACCAACACACTGAGGCAAGGACTTGTATTGAATAACTATGGCAGGGCACACCACTGCTGTCACTAGGTCCATCTGCTGCCTGCCCAGAGTAGAGAATGGGATGTGTATATGGTAGTGTTGATTATAACTCATACTCACCAGCCCTGTCATCTGAACAGTGAGATCAAAAAAGGAGGCCAGCAAGTGAGAACTCTTGGGACTTTGTGTTGGCTAGCTTTGTCGTTTTTATCCTTTGAGGTGCCATTAATTTAATTAGGCTAGTTCAGTCTCCAGTGTATGCCCATCTGGGCAGGGCTAGCATAATTATGCTCACTTTCAGGTCAGACTGCCCACTGGTGAAGGCCATGAAGATGATAGTGGTGAGAGCAGCTGCAAGCCATGTGTCTGAACTAGCCAGCCCTGACATCTTAATTGTAACACCCTTGCATTCATGAGTTCAGGCACAGGGCTTTCAGCTCCACTCATTACTTCCACCATCATCGTTCTGGTCTTCCTCCATGGGCAGATGACCTGCACAGTGAGTTCAGAGATGCCAAGCACAATCTGTCCAGAAGTCCCAAGACCTAAAGTGTTGTTTCTTGTCACTCTGTGCAACAGTTGAGATGGTCCACAACAAAACATTTTGTTGCTGCTGCTGTTGTTGTTTTCATGTACAGTTATGTAATCGAAGATCTATCATCATATGGTTTTGTATTTAAAATATTTCTGTTAGAATAACTGTTCTAAGAAAGAGGGAGGTGTCATTGACAAGAGGATCAAAAAATCAATGATGTTTACACTGGTGTTCCAAAATAGGGGTGGAAAAAAGTGACGGACAGAAGAACCAGTCAATGGAGTTGTTAAAATTTGGCATTTTCAGCAAACTGGAAAAGTGGGTTTTCTTTGATTTATGGCCAGGAAAGAAACTTATTTTTAAAAACTAGTAGATGAGTTTTAATATTTGCAAATCTTGCATTCTTAACTAACCACAGACTAGTTAGAGAGCTTGATATAAACATATATTTGTCCTTCTCCTTTTGTTTCATAGTCTCTGGAGACCGCTCTCAAGTACTGCAACTACATGTTCACTACAGTTTTTGTGCTGGAGGCAGTTCTTAAGCTTGTGGCTTTTGGGCTGAGGCGCTTCTTCAAAGACAGGTGAGGAGTAGGGGAGAGGGCTCAAGCTGTGAACACTGAGGGCCCTCACCCAAAATGTCAGGAACATGGGCCCCTATGTTGAACCGGAAAGAATGTGGGTTATATTCTCCAGGACACAGAGGAGAAATATGTTCCATATTTCGAGAAGCACAACTATAAGCTTTACGAACTACTTCGAAAGTATAGGGCAGGCATTTTCAACTCTTTTTTTCCAGCCACAGCCCTTTTAGGAGTTATTCAAAGGTTCCAGGGCCTCATGTCAATCAAGAACATAACACATCTTTCAGAAACGTCTCCCATTTTTCAGTCTGTGTCATGTATCAAATGTAACAGGGAGTCCCAGGCGGGCATATGATCCCCATTAAGAATTGCTGTTCTAGGGGACTCTTTTCCAATATTTTTTGCAGTTCCCAGTGTAGAAGTATCATCCAATGTGGTAAAATGACTGCATAAGTAATAAAACTAAGTACACAATGTAACATGAACTATTCAGTGACTGAAATTCTGTTGGCATAAATTTATGATGTTGGTGTAAATTTATGCCACATAAAGTAAATGGTGATGTTAATCTTTAATTTAATTTAAAATTTCCTATTAACACCCCCCTTTTTAGATTCCAATGCTCCCTAAGGATTCCTTTTGTCATTGGAAAGCGTTTGGGAGCTTCAGGATGGTGAGGGGAGAGCCTCTAATATTGGAAAATTGCTGGTGGCATTCACAAACCAGGCAACCAGTATAAATGATGCCAAATAAGTAAATGAGTAAAATAAAAATATGTTATATTAAGTAAAAATAACAACGTGATAAAATAAGTAATATTTTTATGTTTATTCTGTCTTTTGAAAATTGGAAGATTGAGTTACTACAAAATTCCAAATAACATAATCATAAACTGTACATGATTTGTAAGTATTACTATTATTACGTTATACTAAATAAAAGTATGAACTGATCCCATCATTCAATGAGGCAGAACTGATTGATTTTTCTTCCTGATTCCTTAAAGGTGGAACCAACTGGACCTGGCCATTGTCCTGCTTTCGGTCATGGGCATCACTCTTGAGGAGATTGAAATCAATGCTGCCCTTCCTATCAACCCCACCATCATCCGCATTATGAGAGTGCTGCGCATTGCCCGAGGTGAGAGAGGAAGCCACAGAACACAGACTGATGCTTAGCTATATCTGGCAGAAGAACATATTAGCAGGAGAATAGACAGGGAAAGAATTTTTAAAAAAATTACACACACACACACACACACACACACACACACACACAGTGTACTGTGTACTGAACTGTACTGAAGACAATCTACCTCAATGTGATGTTGGGATGCCTCCATGTTTTCAGTGGTGTGAGAAATGCAGTAAGGCCTGAGTCTCAGAATGGAGCTTGAATGAGCCTGTTTCAGACTAGTTTAAACTGAGTCTAAATACTGGCCTGTAATCTCAAGTTAGACAGGCCAGTTCCAGACAGAGTCTAAGAAAGACTGCCCGTCACCAAGTTCTTTTTGTTTGCTTCGTACCCTTCAGCATGGATATATGTGCTGCATTCCCAGAGAGGTTAGATTCAGTAATAAACTTAATTATGCCTCACTGTCAAAAATAATTTGCCTGAATACTTCTCAAATGTGCCCTTGCAGAAACAGGAGAATCACAATATATTAAACATTTATGGTATTGAAAGTTTGAAGAGAAAGGCAGTGAAGTGAAAGTCAAGGGCAGGATACAAAGGCACAGTCCATGTTATCTCCCCAAGCTGAGGGGAGAAGAGGATTGTTGCTGCCTCCCTGCTACTACCCCATTTCCCTTGCCTGAATACTTCTCAAATGTGCCCTTGCAGAAACAGGAGAATCACAATATATTAAACATTTATGGTATTGAAAGTTTGAAGAGAAAGGCAGTGAAGTGAAAGTCAAGGGCAGGATACAAAGGCACAGTCCATGTTATCTCCCCAAGCTGAGGGGAGAAGAGGATTGTTGCTGCCTCCCTGCTACTACCCCATTTTCATCTTCTTCTTCCTCTTCTCCCTTTCCTAATCTCACCTGTTTACCTCATCACTACTCCCCATCTCCTTCTTGCCCTACTGCATCTTCTCATCACTTTCTGCTCCCCTCTTCTCCACCTTCCTGTTGCCTCTGCCCATCAACCCTAGCCCACTATTGGCTTTTTCCATCTCCTCCAGCCCCCATCAATTCCAGCCCACTGTCAGGCCTTCATGTGTCCTCCAGCATACTGTCCTCTCCTCTTCTCTAGCCCATTGTCATCTTCTCCCATTTCCTCCAGTCCCTGTAGCCTCTTCCCACTTTCCTGCCACCTCTTCCTCTTCCCTTATTTACCCTTGGCATTTCAATGGTGTCCAGCTCTCTACATGCCTATTTTCTAATTGCCATACTCTGAGGAACTCTCATAGCCAGGCTTGTCTTTGGGACCACCAAGGAAATTAACTGAGTCATTTTACAGCCAATTTTACGTATGCAGCACAGGCTGTCTTCCTAGACAGACCATCTAAAATGTCTGGCTGTGAGAGGTCCCCAGAGCATGAGGTCCCTATAGTATAACTGGAGAGCAGTGGACTGCTGTAAAACACAACAGCAGCACTCCAGAGAGGTGAGGCTCTTGACTGGGGAAGAGTAGGGAATTCACAGCTGTTGGTGGACTGCCATATCGGGCAGCTTCCTCATTTTGGCTAACGACAGGGCCAGTCCTGGAAATGTAGAAGACCTTGGGGGAAATAAAAGACAGTTCAGCAAGGAGTAGTTGGGTGGATAGCTGAGAGGTGAATGAAAATGAATAATAGGAAAAATGTGAGATATTGTGTTGGGTATTCTGCAATCAATTTCATTGGACTATCAACTGAGCTACTTTTTGACATGTGGCAACTACGTAAGGAACAACACACTGAGTACTGCCCAAGCTTTAAGTCACCTTTTGGATTTCTCACCACAGTTTTGAAGCTCCTGAAGATGGCAACTGGAATGCGAGCTTTACTAGACACAGTCGTGCAAGCACTGCCACAGGTAAAAAAAAAAAGCTATTTCCTCTTAGGTTTAATTTTGAATTATTCCTTTAATTCCAGAGTGCAGAATGTCTAATTCCGTAAAGACTGAGACTTCATACCTGAGAGTAGGGATGGGGGTAAATTTCCTTTGGACTATATTTCTACATGAATTTACTTCATTTAGACTTCACAGGCTACCATGCAGATTGGCACATAATTATCAATTAGGTTTCTCACTTAAAGATCTCACAAGGGTTTCCTAGAGAAAAGCAATTTTCTTAAAGAGAAGAGAAGTGGCTTTTTAAAGTATGCTTGTATAAATTCCAGGAAACTCCACAATCCTTCATTACCAAATGAGAGAAAGGAAGTGGAACTTCTTCTTCTTCAGGAAAAGCCCCATTTAACAATGGCACCTCCCATGATGGAGATGTAGCAGTTATGGATTTCACAGACCAAGCGAGGGGTTAAATTGCATTATCTACAATGCCTGGTTACACTGTCACAATTCTATAGACACCTAAAACCCATTGGAAAATGGACCTTTGGTCTAGCACAGGCTTGTCCAAAGTTTCAAGTTACACTGCTGGCACTTGCGGCCGGAATGCGGCGGGGGCACATCACAATGGTGGTGGTGGGGAGAGAGGGAAGGAAGGAAGGAGCGGGAGAGGAGGAGAGAGGGGGGCTGTGGGACTGCATTGCGGCATCACCGTCAATAGGTGGACCCCCTCCCGGCCCCCTAATGCCACCGGCAGCCTCTGCTATCTGAGATCGCAGTTGCCAATAAGCCCGCTTGGAGCGGGGCTGCAGAGGATGGCTAGGGCTGCCTCCCCATGCGGCCGAAAAACAAATTTATGTGCGGCCCAAACGAAATTTTCATCTTCTAATGTGGCTCAGGGAAGGGGAAAGGTTGGACACCCCTGGTCTAGCAGTTTTCAAACCTATGTAGTTTGCAATTATCAGTCACACTGATTCAGTATGCTTGCCGCTTCCAGAACACTATAGTTGCTTACCTAAGCTAATGTCCATTAACTCCACTCACTTTCATTTCATGATCCAGGAAAAGAAATACTGTTCAGGTAATTAACTCTTTATCCCATGTATTCTTTGATTCATTTGAGCCTCATTTAACACAGTGCTTTTTACACAGTGTTAAATGGTTCTACTGCTATTTCCCTTATTTTGCTGATTTAAGTCAGCTCTGGACTGGATGTTCTCAGCACAAATGATATTGTATTTGCTGCTGATAATAAGAAAAGCAACAATGCAAAAATAGTACTTAATTTTGTCAGACATATTTTGGTTTCAGGATTCTCATATTTTCACAAAGGCTGGCATGACAAAAGACAAATGAAATCTTTGAAAAGCCATGTCTTTTTTTTTCTAGAAGCTTTGGCAATATGAGCCCCCAACATCTCTGGGTTTTCTCATTCATCCAGAGCTAAACCAGGTTTTCAAATACAAAATTCTTGGTATTACATCTTTTCTGTAACACCATTCTGATGCCTTCCTTGGAAACTAGGAAAGTTATTTTTGGATGGCCGATGAGATGGAAGTGTTAGGCGGCGAACAACATATTTAACCCTTCTACCCCAGAGAGACAAGCAGCTACTCCTCACCACATGGGGGTCAAACGATGGAGTTCTGTTTCTGTCTATTTAAGACCTATGTTTTAAATGTGAGACTTACTTCCATTCTGGAGATGGCAAAACACACATTTAAACCCTCTGGAGAAAAAGTGCTTCAGGAGCAGGTGGACATTTAAAGTAAGATAATGGAAGGTAAAAGGAGCACTTCTTTAAATCATTCATCCAATCCTTTTCATTTTTCTGAGAACTTTGGGAAGAGGGCAGGATAATTTTACACACATCTCTGTATTACACTTATTTAACACTCTGCCACTTCTATCTCTATATGTTTTGTGCATATAACGTACTAATGAAATACAAAATACAGAAGTTGTGAGTCATTTCCTGCTCAGGCTGCTGAATCTGGGCAAAGGAAAATCCAAGCAGGACAAAAATTATGAGTAAGATCAAGACTTAATAAACAAGCAGTAGGTGGTGAAAATGTCAAGGCCTAGCAAGATATAAATGTAATTGATAAATAATGATTGAGAGAAGGATGGGGTGAGTGCTTATTTTGGAAATGAAACAAAATTCTGCACAGATTGGAATGGTTACCTGGATTAATAAGTGCTTATCCCCAATTTTTTTAAAGAGTCCAAAATCCCTTCTCATTTTTGTCCTAAGTAGCAAGAAATGCTCTGAATGGCAAAAAAAAAGCCCAAAGATATTTATTTTTATATTATTTATTTGTATATGTTACACTTCTGAGTATTCTCTATCTGGAAAATCATGAAAAGGGTTGCCATAAGTCAGAATTGACTTGAGGTCACAGGACTATTATTTTCTATTATAGTCTTATTCATAATCTTTCTCCATTATTATTTATATTAGAGTCTTATTTATAGTCTTTTTCCATTCTGTTTTTAATTTTTTTAGATGACTTTGGTACTTTTGGAGTACCAAATCAAAATAGGTTCTTTTTTCTTTTTGAATAGAAAGAATAAGAGCAGGCCTGACTGCTTAAGGATCTTCCTCCTTTTCTCATTCTCAAGCCTGTCTAATCAGTTACAAAGACTTCTGTCCCATGAGAAGCAATGCCTCCTCCATCTAAGACTTGCTTTGCATGTAGTGAAATGTCACCTGAAAACCAGCAGCTGGATGGCAGGCTTTGCACAACTCGTAAAAGGCAGCACTCAAGAGGAATAGTAGCTACTGATGCTCCCACTCCCTCCCACAGGTACCAAGCAAGGCTCAGGCTGACAGAATTCTCTCTGATGGATGATTGACTGGTGAAGCACATTGACCCCTCCACCCGCCTTTTTCGCTTCTTGGAGAAAATTATTAAGGGTGGAATAATATCACAAAGGCCTATTGATTATAGAGCATCAAATCCCTCCTCCAAAAAGCCGTAAAGAGGCAGCATATCTTCTATTTCTGCCCAAAATAGAGGAGAGGATTGATTGGTCAGATACGGAGTCTCTGTGTGTGAATGTGGTGAAGTGGAGGCTTCAACTTCAATAGTGACACATGACACTTGGCGTCATCTGACATTCCTGTCTCCAGTGCACCATCATCTAATGTAAGACTTCTTACTGTACTCCATGCCATAGACTGAATGGTGTGTTCTTGTATGAGAATAAACAAATAAAGAGGCTGTTTCTCCCCACAACAAACACACCTATAATGCCAGATTGTTGTCCTTGGTTTATAAATGAGGGGATTGTGATCCAGAGCGGCTCCTGCCCACAAACTATGTGTGGTAAGGGATGGAGGAGCCGGACATTTTTCTATTAGAAATGGCAACATTTTGTGTGGGGAGTTAGGGTGAAGACACTGTAAAAGCTGCCACACCAAAGGAAACCAGCATGGATTTTCCAATTTCCTCAGGATTATATATTGCATAGACAGTTCTGCACTTGTTTTCCACTTTGAAGTAATTGCCTCTGGATGGCACTGAGATGCTAAAACAGTCTTTTGCGTAACACCAAGGTGCTAACAGTCACTGGTCCAAGCAGAGTTCCTTCTATTCCATTAATAGGATTTTAAAAATAATAGCAAATGTAATAATGGACAAGTTGCCACCCTTTATCATACCACCTGAGAGATACATGCCTAATCCAGGGTTATAACTGTTATAACTAAGGCTATTGGGGATTACAGATTCCATGATGGCCAGAAGCCTTGCTCTTTTCTAGTTTGTGAATTAGGCTACTTTTGCTTTGTCAGTATCATGACATGCATTATAATGCAGTATCCTGCAATATCATGACAGTGCACACACCTCTCTAATACTCTACTCATTTTTAAGAACAGAAATGTCATTATTCCCTCTGCCTAAAAATACCTTTTTCCTGTTGCGTGATGGAATTTTGCTATTGTGCAAATGTTCTGATGGGTGGGGGAGGCTTTTGAGGGTCAGTAGTAGTCGAAGCAGGATACTCAATGTGGTGTAGTGAATTGAGTAACAGAGTAGGACTCAGGAGGCATGGGCTGGAATCCCTACTCAGCCATGGAAACTCACTGGGGGTATGAAACTGGTGAAACCATTCCATAAATATCTCACTGTGAAAACCATGTTTGGGTCACCATAAGCTGGTTCTGACTTAAAGCATACAAGTAATAGCAGAACTGGTGGTGGTGGTGGTAACACTAATGGTAGAAGTAATATAGTAGTAATCATAGCACAGCTGAATCCTGGTACTCACAATGAATAAACACCACTGCTATCACCCAAACTAACTCAATTAGCTATTTATTCGTCAGATCAATGTACAGGTATTTGTCATTTGGGATGAGGCAGAGGTCAATCACAACCACAGTTAGAAATAAACCCTTTCTAATTCTGATTGCTACTGGCCTCTGCCTCATCCCAGATGATTTTACCAATCTGCCCATTGTCTCAATCTGGGTTAGCACTATCAAAGATACTGCTTACATCTGGCTACTGCTTACAGTTTCCACTGATGTGTTCCTTAATTGTGTCAGAAACGAGATTAACCTATCCTCCATTTTTAAAAATATATTTCCCCCGCCTCAGTGTTGCTAATGGCTGGATAACAAGATCTCTAGCCGTGGGAGACACGGCTAGAGATCAGAGCAAAGGACTAGATTCCAAAACACAAGGGGGCATTCTTCTGAATCAACATATATAGGATTGCACCATTATGGCTGAACAGGACATGTTTGAAATTACAACCAAATCTCTTTATATCTTTATATCTTCCAACAATGAGTGGTGGAGTCCTCATTTAGACTGATGCCAGTGCTGGAGTGAATTAATGCCCCTGTTCTTGCTGCTGCTCCTGTTGCCATTGTTGTTGTTGTAAAGTGTTGCCTCAGCCCCAAAGCTGCTATTATCCACAGAAGGGACATTCCTGTAGGTACCCATCTTTTTCCTGTGTATTTTACCCTCAGTGACCAATATTAGGTAAGAAATGGCCCAGAGAGACACAGAGGGAGGTGTATGTTACCCTTTTCTCAAAACTGTAGCCGCCAATTCAAATTTTCCCCACCCCACCCCAGCAGCTCCAATAGCACAATTCTATTATGCCATGTTTAATTTCCCTTTCGGGTACTTTTAGTATATTTCCTGTTCTAGAAACTGAAAGGTTCTATTGCATTTTTTAACCATATTTGACTATTATGCAAAATGTGGAAGCAAATTAAGTATGCAACTGGGCATGAAGTTTCCTGGGGTGCCTCCAGACCAATATTCCTAGCAATTAAAAGACATGGTGCTAGACTTTCATCTTTTCCTCTTTTACAGTTTTCAGAGGAAAGAAAAAAGGCACAGGTAGCAGTGGGGAAATATGGGAAAGTTGCATGAGATGCCTCTTGTGAAATCTCATAAATGGGACAGGATGGTTGCCTAATAAAATCCCTTGGGGTTGTACATTGCTTACCTTTTCCCTAAGCATAAATATGACCCATGTGGGCTTATTCTTTTATATCTCATACTCTAAAGAAACCTGGGAGTAGGTCAGAAAAAAATTATAGGCTTTCTGTAGTGCTTTATTTTTATTTATAGCATTTTATATTCTGGATGGAAAGAGCCAAAGCCATTCGCAGTGAAATATTTTTCAAATAATGTAAGTACACAAACAGAACAATCATAATATCAGCCACCTTCAGCAAGATGTGTCATTGGAACCAGCAGGAATGTAAAATGTGCTTAAATGCCTGATTCAGGTACTTCTGAAGACATTGCACTGGTCTGTCCTTTGAGCATCACACAACTCCAGAAAGCACTGCATCACCGCATATAGTTAAGGCTGCACTGAGATTTTCACTTAAGGCAGTAATAAAATGTTCTGTGCTTAAGTGATTGGATTGAGTTCCCATATTTTGCACACTGACTCTTCAGGGGATGACCACATTACCCATAATGTTATTATTCTTGAAGATGTATTAACTCTGGTAGAAGAAGTACCTCTAATTAGATCCTACCCCAACTCCTATCATCCCTCTTCTAACTCATTTGTTTTATCTTTTCCTTCTTCCACCTGGGGCACCTCTGCTTTTCATTCACACTCTCTTGGCATATCAGAGCTCGCTAGTCACACAGCGCTTATCCTTCCAAAGTGTTATCCACATGCACTTCTGAGACATGGAAAGGTAGTGTCTGCTTTTGAGGAAGTGGGAGAGTTGGCAGCGCCAGTGGGGCGGTGAACTAACTCTGGATTTTAATCCAATCATTATCAAAGTTATCTTAGATGTTGAGCTATATCTTTAAAATATGTACAGACCTTGGATAAATCCTTTATTAAAATCTGGATGAAAACCTACAATAGATTGACAATTCCACTGACTTTGGAGCCGCTGGCCTCTACTGACTAGGAAGATACAGGGCCATTTGGGCACTAGGGATGTGCATGTCTGTGGTTTTGGGCTACAATTCCCAGAATTCCCTCCAAAATAGCTACTGCACACGCTGACCAGATTCTGGAACCTGTAACTCAAAACATATACGACTTATCGGACACTGCACCACACCTCCTTAGGGAGGCCATTTTACGCTTCTGTTTTAGAAAGAGCAATCCCAGAAAGCCTGGTTTTAAAACATACAGTACCTTCTGCTTAGAGCTCAGATGAGAGATCAGGGACCATCTTTGGCCTTCCTTCTGTTAACATTTTGGTTTCTGATTCAGACCACCCACTTACAAATAGCTTTCAGTATACAGCATAATTGAAGTTACCTTCTCCTTTTCCTGTATCAGCTTTGATGGAGTTCATTTTCTCACTGAAACTTTAAATTCCCATTAATTTGTTCCTTCATTTTGGTTTTTATTTGTAAGACAAAAAGGTGATATAAAAACATTTAATCAATATGAACATGACCAGAAGGACATTATCTTCAGACTGACTTTAGGTCTCTCTGTCTCAAATGCTTTGCTATTAGAGATGGTCATGAACCACAAAACATCCTCTTTTTTTGTAAAAATGAACCGTAAACTGGTTCATTTTAAAAAAAAGTACATGCCTTTTCAAAATAAAAGAACCCCCCTCCTTCCCACTGCCCCCATTGCCTCCCTATCTTCAGCTGCTGCTACCGCTGCTGCCGCTGCTGCCGCCACCTTGAGAGGCAGCCTGGCCAGCTCCCACAGGCTGGGCTGCCTCTGTCTATGCACCCTCCTCTTAGCTGAGAGGCGGGCACATGTGCAGAGGCAGCCCCAAGCTGCCACTAAAAAAAAACTTTTTAAAAACGGAGAGGCAGGTGCATGTGCAGAGGCAGCCCAACATGCAGAAGCCATCTGGGCGGCATCTCAAAAAAAAAATATTATTATTAAAATTAGTCAAATCTCTTGTCAACTCTCAAATTTCTTCTACAATTCCTTTGACATTTTTCTTTTTCTTAATAGTACGAAATGTTGACGTTTGTTGTGCAGTCCACGTTAGGCAAGCGAATTGTGATAGTACAGGTGCAGATTCTTCTGCCCTAATTTTCTAGTCCGTGGCTCTGGACTTATTCACCCAATGGCCAAGTGTCTAAGTCTTTTTCTTTCCCAATTGCATGACAATGACTAAAGTTGCCCAAATCTTTTATAACACATTTCTGTGCCCCACCGTCCCCGATTATATTAATGTGAACTGAGTGGCAGGTATGCAAAATTCCAATTTTTGTTGCTGGTGAACCATCTGGGCCACCCATTTAGCCAGCCATGCATCTTTGTACATCTCTGAAGACTCTAGTACTCTTCATCTCTGTCGGATGATTCTCGTCTCATGTGACTCAGTTTGGCTTGTGTATTTGATTTACTTCTAGGTTGGGAATCTTGGTCTACTCTTCATGCTGCTTTTTTTCATCTATGCTGCTCTAGGAGTGGAGCTCTTTGGAAAACTTGGTAAGTTTTTCAGCACTAAAATGTGTCAAACAATTACAAGAAAATCAGCATTTCCAGAAAGTATCAGGTTTCGCAGTGAATGAGGAATAGAACCAAATGTTTAACTACTGTTTTCATTTCATCCAGGGATCGAGTATGACAGGATTTCTGTTCCATGTCTTAGTGCCCACTGTTCAGCTGAAGCTTCTCAGTGATGTTGCATTGTTCAGGGAATGCGTAGTCATAATTCACTTCACATGTGTGATTTATCTATTTATTTAAATTCTACACCTCCCCCCACTTAGTGACACCCACTACTCTGGGCGATTTAAAGAATAGGCCGGTGAACATCCACCAAGCCAGCCATTTTCTGGGGGAGATGTTCTGACATATTTCTGAATCATTTGATATTTCCACACATGTAAAAGTAGCTGTGGAAACTGCCATGGCTCATTGCAGCTTATTGACAAGGCACTGCGATGGGCATGGTTCACAACTGGGAGCAAAGCCAACATGCACATGCAACGTGCTCATCAACTCGCTGTGGCACCTTCCCAGGGAGGGGGACTCGAGTTGCAGGATTCATTGTCAAGTCAGACTTCAGTTGCACCAGTGATTTGACTCGGACTCAACTTACTATTCAAAACCCACACACCCCTCCCTTTTTTCTGGGGAAAACTCTTTCTAACAGGAACTCGGACATGAGGCTGGGACTTGGTAATTGGTACCATAGATTCACACTCAAACTTGGTTCTTGTTACCAAAGACTCAGACTTGGAACTCGGCCTCAAAGACTTGCCAATCTCCTTGCAACTTCCACAATGTGCACCTGTGTGTGCTTAAATGCCCAGTAGGATTCTGAGCCTTCTCTTCCTACAGCAATTCTGGGGTGGGGGGGGTAGGAAGTTTAGCAGCATTGCAATAATTTCTTCTATTGTTAAAAATTAAGTAGGGGGCAGGTCAGGGTTTGTTTGTTTTTCAACAGCAACAAAAACATTCTGCCTGCCACACTCTCACCAGCCACAAGGAGAGCTTGGGAAAGTAAGTTTTTCCAATTCAGACTCCCAGAATCCTGAAAAGGTCATGTTGGTTGTGGGATTCTTGAAGTTTTAATTCAAAACAGTAACTTTTGCAAGCTCTGGTTATGTTATACTGATGTATACTAAGGGGAACTATTATACAGAACCTGCCACCACTTCCTTCTTCTGTGGTAGCTTTTAATATTTTCAAATGGTTGAATCGTACTGCGAAAGAAAGAAAGAGTGCTGTGCAATCTCTTGAAATTTTCCTCCCACAGAGAAACCTGGAATGTTTTTCACCAAAATTCTTCATCCATTTCTCAGAATGGGCTTACTAATAGCAGTGACAGTAGCAAACAGAGATGGGCACAAACTGCCAGTTCAGTGGCCCATGCCAGTTCGTCCACCAGTCCAACAGGTGTTCCACAGCTCCGAGCCGAGCCTCTTCTGACAGGCACTCACTTGGAGGCAGCACCCCGGCTTCTCTGCCCTGCCCCCTCTGGGACACCTGTTGGACCAATAGATGAACCAGCATGAACCACTGAACCAGCAGTCCATGCCACCTCTTGCTAGCAAAGTACCTCTCTTTGTGTGTGTGTGTGTGTGTACGGGAGAATCTCTCTAGATTGAGAGTGAAGACCAAAGTCCAGCTGAAAGAGCTCCAACAACTCATGAATCATTTTAGCAAGGCCTGCCAAGACTTTGGACTAACAAGCAGCTTGAAGAAAACACAAGTCATGGGCCAGGATGTGGACTCACTTCCCTCTATTACCATCTCTACACAAGAATTAGAGGTTGTTCATGACTTTGTGTACCTTGACTCAATGCTCTCTGACACTCTGTCCCTAGATGTTGAGCTGGATAAACGCATTGACAAAGCAGCTATCATGTTCTCTAGACTCACAAAGAGAGTATGGCTTAATAAGAAGCTGACAGCATATACCAAGATGCAGGTTTATAGAGCCTGTGTCCTGAGCACACTCCTGTACTGCAGTGAGTCCTGGACCCTTCATGCATGGCAGGAGAGGAAGCTGAATACGTTCCATATGCGTTGTCTCCGACGCATTTTTGGTATCATTTGGCAGGACAAAGTTCCAAATAGAGTAGTCCTAGATCGAGCTGGAATTTTTAGCATGTATACATTACTGAAACAGCGACAGCTATGTTGGTCAGATTCCAAAAGATCTCCTATATGGAGAATTAGTGAAGGGAAAGTGCCCCAGAGGGAGACCACAGCTGCGATACAAGGACATCTGCAAGCGGTATCTGAAGGTCTTAGGAATGGACCTCAACAGATGGGAAACGTTGACATCTGAGCATTCAGAGTCATGCGGTGCAGCATGGCCTCTCCCAATTTGAAGACACACTTGTTCAGCAGGCCAAAGCAAAGAGGCAGTCCCAAAACCAGCAAAATCATGGAGCTGGACAGGGGACAGATTGTATTTGTCTTCAGTGTGGAAGGGATTGTCACTCTCGAATTGGCCTCCTCAGCCACACTAGACGCTGTTCCAATACCTCTGTTCAGAGCACATTACCATAGTCTCTTGACACTAAAGGATGCCTACTCAGCTATGAGAGAAACAAAAATGAAGATTTTGTGATTCTGCAGATGTTGCTGAACTGCACCTTCTGTGTTCCTTCATGATTCATTATAGTGGCTAGAACTGATGGGAACTGAAGTCCAACAGCATGTGGGAGGAAGCCACATATTCTCCAGTGGTTTCCTGTTCACAGCTGTTTTCATGTGTAGAACATGTAAGAGGGCTCATATAGAGTTTTCTGTTTATCAAGAAATTAAAGATGATTCCTTGCAGAAAATGTTCCTGTCTTATAAACTGATGACCTAGTGACAGAAATGATAGGTAGGCAGACAGGACGCTGACACTATAATTATGAATAGAAGAGAAGAGTATTTGACAGTACTAGGTTAAAACATACAGCACTTCATTCTTTATTGTCATGGAGGTCTTATGTACACTTCATTGTAACACTTGAACAAATGTTAAATGAAGCTGTAGCTGAGAATCTGTTACTCTTAAGTGGATTAAAAGTTCAATCATTTACTTTGTCACTCTTGCTGGCTCCAACATCTGGCTCCAATGCCTTTGCTGACTGCAAGCTTATCCATGCTAACAGTCCATTAATTTTAATGGGCAATGCAAACACAGCATTTTTGCAAGGGTAGGATCCAAAAGGAATGGATATAGTCAGCAAATGCATTGGAGCCAGATATGTATACTGGTTCTTCCAAATGTTATAATAATATACCTATCTCTGGAAATGTCACACAAGAATATATGAGTTGTTTTTTCAACCCAATAAGTTCTACCCGTTTCAACTTTTTGCCTAATACCAGAATGCAAAAGCTACTTCTGAGTAGGGTTGAATACCAATCCAGGATTAATTTCTAAAGAACCATCTTTTTTGCCTTTGCCCCTCACTGGAAATACAACCACTTGTTCACTTTTCCACCTTTAAACCCCCTTCTTTCCAGTATGCAACGATGAGAACCCTTGTGAGGGTATGAGCCGTCATGCCACCTTTGAGAACTTCGGGATGGCTTTCCTAACACTTTTCCAGGTCTCAACTGGTGATAACTGGAATGGAATCATGAAGGTAACTTGAGCTACTGATGGGAATAGTGCTTGTACAGTAATATCTCAGAATGGAAACAGATCCACATCTCTTTGAAGTATGTTCAGGCGGTGGAGGGATATGGATACAGCTGGGAAATGCTAAGGACCTTTTTGTATGAGGACAAGGAATACAAATTATATGCACACTGAGGATTCCTTAGCTAGTTCATCTGGTACTGGCCCCCATGGAAAAGGAAAAATGAAGAGGAAAACTAGGCTGAGTATTGGAAGCATCCAATCTGTGGCTTCCAATAGATCAGTAGGTGTTGGTATGTTATTTAACAATGACAGAGCATGAGCAAATCTATATTTTGAACATAGGCTTCATCTTGGTGCAGTTGAGGGATTTTCAGCATATTTATCAGAGCTTATTTGGGTTCCTAATGCAGATGTTGGTAGGAAGAATGCATCATATATATGTATACTATTGTACCATTCTGACCACACCCAGAGAATACCAAAGATCACCAGATAAAGCTAGGAAAGAATTCCATCTGAAACCCTAGAAAGCCACTGCTGCCATTAAGAGGCGACAGTACTGGGCAAGATGAACCAATGCTCCAATTAGTGTGAGGCAACATCCTAAGAAAATTAAGGAAAGTGATTTTTAGAAAATTCTGGCATCGACCAGTGTGATTACCCTTGGTGCCATATTAAGCACATTGTCATTTTGTAATAATTTTAGAAGAATTGTTGCAACAATGCAGGTTCTTCCTGTGTGAAATTAGATTTTTCTTTTGCTACTTTAAATCTATCACTCTGGTAGAAAATGGATTGAGAGTGTATTAATGTGAAATTAGATGTAGATATTTGGAGTTGGGGGTAAACCTTTGGAATTCCTTAAGAAAACTCATGAGCTGCAGCTCCTCCCACAGATGTTCCTCAAAAGCTTCATAGACTAGCTCCAGCCTAGCTTCCTGTTAAAAAAGCTGCACTGAGGCAGAATTCTGGGAGTTGGAGTTCAATAAATCTGAATGGTAGATTCCTACTTTTAACCATAGCCGCCTAGAGTGGCCACAAGACCAGATGGGTGGGGTAAAAAATAAAATAAATAAATAAATAAAATATATAGTTTGGAGATAATGGAGTATGTAGTCAAACAGCATTCTCAGTTTGAGAAAGGCTGGAATAGATTCTAATTGCTATATGAGCTATATTCCTTTCTAAATTGCCATCCTTTGAAAAATATGTCTCAAAAGGGGAAAGCAGCAGGTCTTCAATACTTTCAATTAAATCAAATTATCCATTCAGTCATATCCGACCCTTGGCAATTTCATGAGCCAGCTCTCTCCATGATTTCTGATCTTGTACAGCTTTGACCAAACTCCAGGAGGCAGTGGAAGACAGGAGGGCCTGGCGTACTCTGGTCCATGGGGTCATGAAGAGTTGGACATGACTTAACGACTAAACAACAAACAACAACAATAGCTTCTGTCAGCTGCTTTATATTTTGGGCAATGTCTGCTTTGATTACATCCAACCAACACATTATTTCGTGTCCTTGTTGTCTTTTACCACTGACCATTATGAGCATAACGTCTTTCTCCAGTGATGTTGATCACATGACATGGCCAAAGTAACTAAGTCTAAGTTTCATTATTTTGCTTTCCAGTGACATATCTGGTTTTATGCACTTTAGCACTACTTGATTCGTTATCTTTGCAGTCTATGGAATGCACAAGAACTTCCTCCAACAGCATAGCTAAAATGAATCAATTTTCCTTCTGTCCATCTTCTTCATCATCCAACTTTCACAGCCATATGTACTTATGGAGAACACGATGGTGTAAACTAATCTGCACTTGTTCATCAAGCTGACATCCTTAAGTTCCCATATTTGATTCATACTCATCATTGCTGTGTGACCTAGCATTATTCGACATTTTATTTCTTGGCTGCAATTGTCATTTTTATTGACCAGTGAACCTAAAAAGATGAATTCTTCCACACATTCAACCTCCTCTCCACCAGTTACTATTTTGATGTTTCAGTTCTTTGCAGGTGTCATCAGTTTGGTCTTTTTAAAATTCAAAAAGAGGCCAAACTTCTCACTTTCTTCTTTGAGTTTCATGATCAGGTACTTTAGACCAGTGGTTCTTAACCTTGGTTTCTCAGGTGTTTTTGAACTGCAACTCCCAGAAACCCCAGCCAGCACAGCTGGTAGTGAAGGCTTCTGGGAGTTGCAGTCCAAAAACACCTGAGTAACCCAAGGTTAAGAACCACTGCTTTAGAACTTCTTGAGTTTCTGAGAGGAGGGTTATATCATCCACATACAGAAGGGTATTGATGTTTCTTCCATCAATTTTACCCCAATTTCAGTACCTGCAGTGTGAACAAAAAAACAAATTTTGAATCACAGTACTTCCCACTCAGGGCTCAGCTACACTGTTGAATTAAATCAGAGGCTACCTTGGGGTGTTTTGTTTTTGAATCAATATAATGTCACGTGGTTTTGTGTTGGTATGTGCACCCTCATGAAAACTGCACTCCCGCCATGGCTTGCCTCTATGTTTAAGTAAATGGGGAGGGGAAGTGTCTTCCAGCCTTCCACTCTGGGAAGGTTTCTTTCAGGGGGGAGTGGGTAAGTGGAGGTGGCACCTCCTCGCTTTGAAAACCAGTACCCTGCATTCTCCAACCATAGGAAGCTCTGCAAAACCAAGAGAGAGGGAGAGGGGGAGCTTCCAGGAGGTGATCAAAGGAGCAAGAGTCATGAGTTTTAGTGCAGCTGCAAGGGTGTCACCACCAGCAGCAGCAACTGTCCCCACTCCCCTCACATTTTAATACTTAATATTTTTAAAAAGTTTTGAACTAGCATAGTGTTAGATTGATGCTGTGATAAAATAGAAATGGATTTTCTAAAAGAAGAAGAATTCAGACTGCAGGGTATCCACCAGTTTAAAAATCCCTATGCTTGGTACCCATTTTGGGAAAAACCTGCAGACCCACGCGCACAGTGTTTAGTCCAACTCAGGCGTTCACACATGCGAAAATGATTCAAAATAAATCATGTCATCTGTAATTTTTTTTTTAAATTTCAAGCATGCTAAACCCAATGCAAAGTCAGTAGTATTACAACATGTAAACAAGCCCTCGCATCTGCTGCCCCATTTGTGAGTTAAGTCAACTGAGACAACTGGAAGTTATCAGGAAAATATTGGCCACTCCCTCAGTAATTCCAGGTAACACTGGAAATAGGAAAAGGATAGGAGAGTTCTCTCTTCAAAACTAGACCCCAACATACAGAAGGGTATTGACAAGAATTGCTGGACTATTCAAGAATTGCTCTGCTTCTCCAGATACAGATCTCAGGAACAATGGTACAAGAGGAGAAAATAGTTTGATTTTTGTTTATGCAGTCTCTTTAAAGCAGGAGTAAGCAATGTTGGCGGAACCAAGGGCCATTTCAAGATTTACTGGCAGCCCAAGGGCTGTATTTCCAATTGAGAGAGGTTAAAGGGGAAGGGCCTAGCCAATCAATTTGCATGTGTATTATTATTATTCTCAGTCGTAGTAGTGGTGGTGATGATTATTGCTACAATTGTTTTTTGTTAACTGGAAAAGGAGTTAACTAAATAATAATAACACCCCCTGCCAGCTTGACTAAATCCTCATGGACAAGTTTTTTTAAAAAAATATTATAACTTTTAAAAATTAAGAGGATGATGCCAGAAAGTTTTTAAAGCATGGACAGAAATGTCACCATGACATCCAGATAACACTAGGATACTTTAGTGCCACTTAGAAGACAAGGAGGAAAGGAGAGGAGAAAAGGACTGGAAGGACAGCTTTGGGATGTGTGTACTTGGAAGAAGACAAGAAGTGGAACAGTGTTGTTATAAGCTTTTTTTTGCAGCACACCCTATGACAGCAAAAAGCCCTACAAAGAGAGCTTAGAATGTGGCCTGCCTTGCTAGTCTTAGGGTTTGGTTATATAATCTCAGGAATACGAGGCTGCAGACCTGGCAACCCTAGCTTTCTTTAAATTTTGTTTGAGGCAGTATCCCTATTTCCATTCATTATTTCAGCTTTTTCTCTTCCTTTTTCTCTGTGTGTGTTTGTGTGTGTGTGTTGTGGGGGGATGTCCTGTTTGGTTGTCTTTCTTTGTTTGTTTGTTTTCCTTTTTTTTTTGGCCTAACTTATCCCTCAAGGACACACTACGTGACTGCACCCACGATGACCGGAGCTGCCTCAGCAACCTGCAGTTCATCTCCCCACTCTACTTTGTCAGCTTTGTGCTCACAGCCCAGTTTGTCCTCATCAATGTAGTGGTAGCTGTCCTTATGAAACATCTAGATGACAGCAACAAAGAGGCCCAAGAGGATGCAGAAATGGATGCTGAGATCGAGCTTGAGATGGCACATGGGTTGTATCCTCACAGCGCACTGAATCCTGGACAAGATGGAGGAGGTGGGAGAATGGACCCGGAAGGACGTCTATGCATGGCATGCTTCTCTCCTGCTCAGGTGAGTGGAACCTTTTTTGTTTGCTAGTAGAACTGGCAACACTGAGTGGGGAAGAGAAAGACAGCTTAGTAAATAATTTGTTTTAATACCATGTGAATGGGTTGTATTCAACTGTAGGTTTGGTGCTCTGGTATAGTTCAGAAGTAGAATGAAAAGGGATGCTGTGAGGCAGGATGATGGTGTGTTAGTGAAAATATATTAGTTAAAAACAGGGTTCTGTAGGGCAAGGTTGAGGAACACTTGCAGAATTGTACAGTGAGCTCTCGTAGTGCCTCTCTGAGTGTTGTCACTTAAGATAAAAGCCCCTCCATTTTACACCACTATGCAAGGCCACGTTCTGCCTCATTTGCTCATATTTTGTAGGACAATAAACTTCTGGTCACCTTCTAAATGTAAGCACGGCTATAGGCCCATTGCAGGGCTTACTGGTCTGAGTGCAGGTGACCAAAAATGAAACCTAAATTCACACAGCAGAACACTGAAGCAAACAAAACCTGGAGTTCTTAAAATAATTTCTCCCATCCTCCCCCCTTTCTTGTCCCCTAGGAGAACTTATGGCTGGACAGTGTCTCTTTAATTATTAAGGACTCCTTCGACGGGGAGTTAATGATCATCGATAACCTATCGGGCTCCGTCTTCCATCATTACTCCTCGCCGGCCATGTGCGAGAAGTGTAACCATGACAAGCAAGAGGTAACCTGCGTGCGAGGATATGGGAGGGGGACCCCCCAGACATGTGAAAACACACCCGCACAGTCTTAGGCACTTGAGATCTCCTTAGGATGGTCTCCTGGTTGCAGATGACTAGATAGCAGTCTTGAATTTTGATACTAAACTACATTCTTGAGGTAGCATCCTTAGCAATAGAAAATATATGCTTGCATTGGCAGATATCTGAGTTGAAAGACTGTTGGACCAACAAGGATAGCAGAGAAGGGTATGGAAAGATGTGGTGGAAAGGAGAATCATTATTGTGGAAGGACAGTGTTGGCTTAGGAGATGCAGTATTTAGTTTTGTTCTTCAGAGAGGAAAGTTTCCAAGTCTAGCCATATGTTTAGCAAAGCATTGTGTAATTTTAGACAAATTGCTTAATTCCTGTTTCTGTGGATTAAGATTCAAGCATTCATCAGCATGTGGCTAAGTGGTTATGCAGCACAGTTTCTAAAACAAGTATATTTTGAGTGAAGATCAGTTTTAAACTTGACTCTGTTTGTCAGTCTAGCTATGAATACTTTGGGCCCTCTGTATGATTAAAATTGTTAATGGGAAGGCAGGGCAGTGGTTATAATGGGTGAAACTGGTTCTTTAATCAGTGTGTTTGTGACTGTTATAGGTAATGTCAGATCAAGGAGATGTCAAGAACTCATTCATTCACGCAGTAATGCAATCATTCATGGTCATTTCATTCCTTCCCAATTAATTTGAATGTTTTTCATAGAGCCAGAGAATGTTCAGAACTCAAGATTGCCCTTGATAAATTGCTACCTTATCTAATCAGGCAAGGGACTAGACTGTCCCCATCTTCCTGAGCAAGAATCCCAGATTCTGTTTCTTTAAAAAGCTCTATAATAGGGACTTTTTGAGAGTTGAGAAATATACACACAAAGTAAATAATTAGGTTCAAAGACTTAGCAAACTCTAATATACAGTATATTCCAAAAGTTGTTTGTTATTAGTTGTCAACAATGGAACCAATTAACTCAGGAGATGACGAGCATTCCAATGTTGGAGGCATTCAAGAAAAATTAGACAACTGTCTATCTTAAATAATGAAACCAAAGATGTTTGCTACTTCCCAAAATGCACATCTCTTCATCATCAATGTAGCAAAGTATATTAGAAAGTGGCTAAAAAAAAGTCACCAGTGTAATGAGCCTTTACAGTAGGTGTGGTCAATATGAGGCCCAGGTCTTTGCCACACCACAGTACTGTCAAAATCAGTGTCATAGTGACTGCCAGAAGATTGTGCTGTTTAAAAACCACCGGTGACAGCACTGCAGAAATTTTGTGATTTTGCCTTTGCCTCCTGAAAGAAAGGAAGTCTTGTAGGGCTGCATTGTGTAAAAGGACACACTGCCATTGTCCTGCATTGTCCTGCAACCATAAAAAGTGATCTGCTTGTTGCCAATGACTCTTGGCAACTCCAGTGGCACCAGGATTTGAGGTAGCAAAATTGGATTAGCAGGATCCAGAACCCAGCATGTTCTAGGATACTCAGTGCCCCCCCAGTAGTCCTAGGAAGCTTCCGAGCTTTCTTTTATAGCGTAAAAACAGTTTAAAGTGAATTTAAGCAGGTCACTGACAATGCTTCCAGGATTTTCTTGGCCTTTAGGGCATTTCACACATGCATTCATTAGAATTATATCAGGCCTCCACAAACACTCCCTAACAGGGGTTTTCTGAACAGGAGCATAAAAAGATATAGTCAGGAATGGCTTCAAGCTAATTGGATGGCCTCCTGATCAAAGATGCAATCAGCCATGAAGCTCTGTTATGCAATAAACATTGAAAAACTTCAGCACTTTGTACGATCAAATCCCCAACAAGTCTCATGTTCATACATCACTTCCATTCATTTCAGTGGGATATACTGGGTGGATTGTGTTCTCGTCTTTCCCACCCCATTGCTGTGTCGTAAGCTACTAAAACGTGTATTGAAAGCTAATCAAGTTACATAGATCATAGTAAAGCTACATGGATGAGCTAATTTGCTCTGCTTATAGGACCTGACATTGTGCAGAATCAATCCATAAATCTTTTTTTAAAAGTCACTATTCACACCATAATATTTCAATTACAATACCTACTTTGTTTCAATATGTTTTCAAGATGATAAATATGCCAATTGTTAGATGCCCTTATATAGCTTATTAGTTGCTCTGGGCTCCTGTGAGGAAGAGAGGGATGCAAATCTAGTAAATATATAAATGGATAAATGCATACTAATTATGCTATATGTAAGTAGAAATATCAGAAATACTGGAGAGGGATTCTGCATCTTGCAATAAAATCAATATGTTTAATCTCAAAATACTAAGAAATACAATTTGTATCATTCAGAATAAGGGCAGGGCACCATGTGTAGACTAGGCAACTCAAGTATTGCATTTTAATATCTTACATTATTTCACTACACTAACCTCTTCGTTGTTTTCATGGCATTGCTCTAATTTCATTATCAGTCTTTATGAAGTGTGCATATATACTAGCAATTTGTATTGGTAGCACGTGGAGTGGCTAATTGGTATAACACGGTATAGGTTGTCAATGCATAATGGAGAATGGTAGCTCTTAGCAGAATGTTTTTCTCTCTACAATTTGTTAGGTGCTTCTTTTTGTGCTAAATTTCAGATGAAAAAATTGTTTGTTCTTGTGAAGCAAAGTTTAACTCTTGTAACATTTGTAATCTCAGAAGATTTTTATAAATTACAGTTTGAAGGATTCATTCCCCCCCCCGCCCACTCTTTTGCAGATACAATATCTTTATGCCTAGTTGGCAGAGTTAAGGGTGTTTTGAGATGAAAATCATATTAAAGGTGTGACCGTTGACCCAACTCATGAGATGAGTGGGTCACGCAAGGATTATGTTTTCGTTTTGTGTATAGATATTGTGACATAGTTCTGTTGTTGTGTGTTGGTGTGGTGTGATCGTGGTTTTCCTTTCCTTTCTTCCTTTTTTTAAATGTTTAGATGATTAGTAGAAGTAGTACTTAGAAATCATCTACATTTTAAATAAAATTGGACACAATCCAGCACACCAATAAGCATGCACAAATCCCCTTAATCCCAAAGGGATTAAGCAAACATAACTATACACTGGATTGTGTCCACAAGGCTCTAACCAGAATGGTTCCATAGATAGTTCCCATGTGATGACTGTAATGTTAGTACTATGAAGATGGCGGTCACTTGGTGTCCTTGTGATGGATTACACCATGATGGTGGATTACCCTTTCGGATGTCCACTTCTTTCATTCTTCCAAATAAACTATCGGTCTGAAGGAGTCCTAACACATGGCACTGCCACTGATTCTGTTATACTGAATCCTGTCCAAAGCCATCAGCTCTCCATATCATCTTTTGTCACTATTTACATATGCAACATGCATGCTCAGTTCCACACGAACACAGGAAAGCAAGGACTTTGCCTGAGGAGCCCTGCAAACTAGGTCAAGTTAATGTAGATAAAATACAACCAGAAAAGATCAAATGCCAGAAGAGATTAGCAGAAATAACAGCACTACCTTTTGACAAGGAGGAAAGGTAAGCGAGATCACAAGAAAAAATGAAGGGGGGTGGCATTTAATGCAAGAAGTGAAGAGGAACAATTAATTCAAGGAATAAATGGGAGGAGAGGGATGGAAATGTCAAAGTGTACATTTATGGTAGTTTATGGAAATCTGAAAGTAAGAAAGATTATCTTGGCAGCTGGAATGATGAGAACAAGTTGAGAAAGAAGAAGAAGAAGAAGAACCAAGAAGGCAAAAGAGAATGACAGTAAAACACAAGATAATTTGTTTAGGTCTGTCCTGTTATGTTGGGATTAGAAAAAAGAAGCATGGAGCCCAGGAAGAAATGCAGGCTGCATAACTTTCATATGGATTGATAAAGCATGATTACTACTACTGGAATGAAGACATCCCCATCATCATCCTATTAAGACTGGGACAGGTTGTGCTACCCATTCTTTTCCTCATTCAGTTCCAGGGCAGAGTACATTGGAGAAGTGCTGTGTCTCTACACCACTAATGCAAATGCAGACTCAGCTACACACAGAGTAATGGGCCCAAATCCTTTGAGGCTGAATGAAATATCTTCCTTCCTAGCAAAGATGTTGCTAGTCAATGCTTCGACCAAAAGAACCCTTAAGACCTGCAAGGGTCTCTTTTGTTCTTTCTTCCCCACACCCAGAAACAATTTCATTGTATGCAGAATTGGGTTAGGACTCTGTAAACCTCATGTGTGGTCTTCCTCCTTGTCCTCAAACTTTTTCCGTAAGCAAGGTGACTGGTTGATCAGAATTGAGCAGTGTCATCTGACAGCTTAATCTTTCTACTCACTTACTGCAGGTCCAGCTGGCTGAAATGGAAGGCTTATCACTCAACTCTGATAAATCTTCTATCCTGCTAGGGGATGATGGGGACAGCCACAGTGTGGATCAGCCAAGCCCTAAGGAAACTAAGGTAAAGCATTCTCAGGGGCTGTGTATATATATATATATTCAAAGTGTTCCTTTGAAAGGGTGCACAGGCTTTCCAAAAGATTATGTTACAGGTCCACTTCCAAGCACAATAAATTGCTAATTGTGACCTATAAGGCCCTATATGGCTTGGGTGCAGGCTATCTGAAAGTCATTATCTCCCCATATAAGCCAACCCAGGTGTTAACATCATCAGGCTTTTTTTAACTGTCTCATTACCCTCATAGGCAAATCTAGTACAGGCATGAGGGAGGGCCTTCTTGGCAACTGCTTCCAGGTTATTCAAGTCCCTTCCAAGAGAGAATAAGGTGGCCCGCTCTCTGCTGCCTTTTTGCCAGCACATATTTAGAGATGCTGTGACAGTACTGGTGAGCTGATGATGAAAGTTTTCTTTCAAAGGTGGGTGGGTGATGACTTGCTTTTTGTTGAGGTTTTTAAAGAGCTTTTTAAGTATGCTATGTGATTTTAATGCAACAATGTATAAAATATTGGCCAAAATTCTTTTAGTTACGCCAACCGGAGGATAAATACAATTGGCATAAATCTCAGTGGCAAATTACCACAAGTTTAACAGCTAGTGTAAGCATTTGCTGCTGTGTGTCGAAGTTCACGACACAACAGCAAATGCTTTCGATATCTTCTTAACTTGAAGCAGTTGGCCACCAAGATTTATGCAAATAGCATTAAGCCAGCAGGTGTATCAAGTAGTTTTTTGGGCATTAGGTTTTTTAAGCTAGTGTAAGCATTTGCTGCTGTGTGTCAAAGTTCAGGACACAACAGCAAATGCTTTTGATATCTTCTTAACTTGAAGCAACTGGCCACCAAGATTTATGCCAATAGCATTAAGCCAGCAGTAGTATTTTGGGCATTAGGTTTTTTTTAACTATGTTTGCCTTTAAAATTCATGTTGTGCACCACCTCAGGTCTTGCAAAAGAGGAAGTCAAAGCATACATCAAATAAATGCATGTATTCCCCTGGTAAGAAAATTCTGTTGGGTAGGAGCAAGGAAAGCAAAGGATTTGAATAAGGGTTTGGTCATTCAGATAGTACAAGTCACTTATTTCTCTAGTTCATCACACTCTTAATATATCTTCTTTCACAAAATACAAAAAGTAAACATGTTTATTCAAAACATTTTATTTTAATTTTCTGACACCGTTATTCCCAAGTGAATCCCAGTTTAGGTAGATGGGAATGTGGAAAATAATGCAAATCCAGAGCTTCGCTGGTCTTCCAATTCACGAATGCATCCAACTCAACCTAACAACTAATACAGTGATCCCAAGCCTTTTTCAAGTCACCACTCCCTTTTATAATAGTCAAGTAACCTGCTACCCCACCAGATTAGCTTAAAAAGCCCTATTTAATGGGTTAAAACCATCCCTTCTCAGAAAGTAGAAGCTTATTTGTCCCCTCAAAGGGGGCATACTCGCTAACTTTAATTTGTCCCCTCAAAGGGGGCATACTCGCTGACTTTAATATCCGGTTCTGAAAGGTCAAGGAAGAAATAACTTAACAAGGACTACAATACATACTATATAAGGTGACCTGCAACCTCCCTAGAAAACGTTTTGTTACCGGCAGATTGGGAAACACTGAACTAATAGACATGATAGCACCTCATTTAGATAAAAATTCTATTCCTCTTTCTTTTAGTAAAAAGGGAGATGTGAGAGAAAATGGACAAAATCCTATTGCAATCATACCATATAAACCAGAAATTGTGTAACTGGTGAGCATGATCATTTTTGTCTATTGCACACTGACATATACCTCAATTGTACCTTTAGCCACATGTTTGATATATATCAGATGGCCAGAAAATCTGCAAAAACCACTGCGCAGCTCCCACTAGTTGTGCAGTATTGTGCAATAGGATTTTGGCCAATGATGGGAAATCTATACTCCCTCCAGCTGCACCCAATGTCTAACTCTTAGATGCTAACACAGAGTTGGGCAAAATGAACCCCTGCCACACTCCTGGGACCCAGCAGCCCTCTATTCCCCTCAATTCATTTCTTTGTGTAAAATAATTTTGTCTCAAAAGATCTTCCTGTGCAATCTTAATGGTGTGGCAGGAAAATAGTGCCATGTTTTAAAGACCCCCAGGAACTGCTGGGGCCTACTGCAGACCAATTTTTAAAAAAAAAAGATTGAAAAAAGAATTCAGCCACTAGAGAGCATAAAGGTTTTTCCTTAAAAAAAAAAAAAACACATACATTTTTATAAGAAAACAAATTTTGGGGTGAGGAGGCAGACATGGATATAGCCTTAAAAAGATGGTGAGATGGGCATACCTTTTCTCCTGGACTTTTGCAGGTTGCCAATCCCTGCCCTAAACTACTGCTTTCGGAAACCTTCCATAAATTGTGGAGTCTTATTATTCTCTCACTTTTTGAAGCAGCCAACGCAATAGAAGTGCTGAGTGTATATTTGTGGAATAGAATATGATTTTGTGGGTACTTGAATAGGATATAGGTAAAGAGATCATCTTCAAATGTATACACACAAACCTTTCCTTTGACAGCAGGGGACAGCCATAGAACTGGGATTGAGAGCCCACAGACCAGTCTGGTGCCCAGTCATGAAATAGCTGGGTAACAGTTTTGGAGAAGTCCTCGGTGTGAAGGATGCTAAGTGTCAGAACACTGGAGATAACATAAGATGGAGTAAAAGAGAGAACTAAATTGCCAATTTAGAACAATAGCAGGATCATTCCCTTTGCTATCCTCTAATCTCAGCCTGATCTTCAGCTCCAAATAATGCATCCTTCCTTGTACAGAGGGCTCTGACACCTGAGCCCTAGTTATTTATTTATTTATTTAGTTCCTATCCCACCTTTTTTTTAAACAATGAAACTCCAGATACCTTACTGGGATTCCCAAGTGGTCTTCTAGTGTTCATCAGATCCAGATCTACTTAGCTTCAGATAGATGGCTTTTATATGACGAGCCTATTATACAGGTATTTGAAAAACAAATCACTGGTCCTGCCCAATTATTTATAATTCAGGTAAAGGATTGTGTTCTAGTCTTCCTTTTGTTTCTTTTTTTGTGGATATCCAGGAAGTGTCTTAAGGCACTTATCTCTTTTCTAACTAGGATGATGAGGATCCCCCCTTGATGGGGACAGAAGGTCTGGAAGAATGTCACTTTGCTTTAACAAATACAGAAGCTCCACCAGCTCCAGAAAGCTGTCTGTGTGAAATGGAGAACACCCCTTTCAGTCCACTCCAGTCTTGGCTATCAAATGAGAACAACCAAGGTAGGTAATATTGCACAGTTCAACAGAGGAATTATAGAGCTTGGAATATTATGCATAAAGAGTAATTTGTTCTCATTCATTCATGCAGTCATGCATTCAAAGTACTACATTACTCTTACTCATCTAAGTGGTACAGCACAATTGCAATATATTTAATTTTTTTTCAGGTGGTCAGAATCTAGTAGGTGAAAAAATGCAATGTGCAGTGATTTTTCTTCTCTCTCTCTTGTCATGTTCTCCTCTTTGCATATTCCCAAGGTTGTACTCAACAGAGGGCCTGCTGGCGGGGAAGAAAACTAATGCAATCATCCTGATGCAACTGCATGAGTAAATAGGATTCTGGTCACTATTACTAAAGTGCTGCTTTAAAAAGAAAAAAAAACATTAAAATACACTTAAAATATTAAAATGCCAACATTTACCAAAATGTCCCCACAGAAAGCAATGTTTTAGGAATAAAAAGCAATTGATGCTTACCACACTCACAAAAGTAACAGCGTTTTCAGTTACATTGTTTTTTAAAAGGTGTTATGCACTTTTATTATATCAGTGACATACTACTGATAACATCATTAGCTGTAACATGTTGCCTACAGCCTGTGACATAGAGCAGTGTAATGCACAGATTATCCATTCTGCCAAGGACAATTTTATACTTAGATACAGAACACGTTGACTACAAACGCATACACACAGCATTGATTCAAACAGTATTCTTATGAAGGAATCACTTCTTTTTCCAAATCCTTTTTCTCTCACTTCTCCCATGTATTTTTTTAAAAGGGACATGGTAATGGATACAGATGTGAAGCAGTTATAGCAAACACTCTGTATTTTATACTGTATTTGTGGTTATAGAAAAATATACTGGTTGAAGTCTGGACTTGGGACTTCTGCCCAGAACATCTGTGGGCTGCAGATCCTCTGAACTCAGCATGCCAACTCAGGGCATGATCAGATGGTGATTTAGCTCTATCCATTTTCTGGCAACTATGTGATGCACAAGAAGTTGCAAACCAGCCTGGTTCTGTTCCATGCCCATCCAGACCTTTTTGGTTCAGTGCAGGATTCTCCTTTTTTATTTTTATTCATTTATTATATATTTAGGAGCTAGGCTGGAGTGATGGGGCGCAGATCACATATGCATGGAAGGGTCCCTTTGAGTGAAACCTACCCAATGAAGCAACCCTTTTCACTGCATTCAATGGGATCCTGCTTCCCTGTCTGGTTGTACCCTCAGTCTCCTGGCCCTTGCAAAGTTATTCATCCATTCCTTACATATTCATTTAATTTCTTTATTCCACTTTTCAACTAATGGGCTCAGGACAGCATATGTGATCCTTACCTTGTATCTTTTCAAGAACCCTATGAAATAGGTTAGTGTCAGAAATAACGAATTCAAAACATTATCCGCTAGGCTTCAAAATGGTACAGCAAGCATTTCAGTCACCAGATAATTTCCTAATTTCCTCTTCTCTAAACCCCAAATGTTTTCAAAGTAAAGTAATGTTGGAAGTCAAGATAGTTCCTGGACTATTGCCCCCTTACCGTGAGATACTGGATTTGCTCATTTAATAGAACTTGCTCATGTTGACAGGCCTGTTGTCTCTGGTGTTAGTCCCTGTATCAATCCCCTTCCTCCAGGCTATTCAAAGAAATTAGACATTAGATGCAACATACAATAGGACCCCTGTATCTGTGGGATCTGTATCTGCTATTTCATTTATCTGTGGTCCGAAAATATTAAAAACATTAAAAGAAAAAATAATGTATTTCCATGATGTAGTTGCCAGACCTACCCACTAGTGGGGGCCAAAGACCATGCTATGTATAGGGTTAACTATAATCCATACTTTTTAGCATCCACAGGGGAGCCTTGAAACTGATCCCCCCATGGATACAGGGGTTCTACTGTACTTTCAATAGCAAGGCATTACTAGTACTCAATAGTACTCAGAAAAACTAGGTGAGTTTTGATTGGCATTTCACAACAAAAAAGCAGGATCTGTGGATGCTTCCTGCATGGCTATCAGAAGATGCTGCCAGGGGAAGGGAATGGGTGGAAGGAAATGAGCATGGTTAGAAATGGAATGTTATTTGACTTTCTGTGTTTGAACTCTAAGTTATTATGATTGGCCCTATAGATTTGGGGCCTTGATCAAAACAGGGTTAAAAGATGTGATCTTGATTTTTCTTTTTCTGTGCATTTCTCCCCTGTCCTGTTACCACAATCAGGTACTCCAACTGTCTTGTCTCCAGATGCATCTAATCCTCTGTTGCCAGCACAAGCAGAGTTTTTCCTTCCATCTGCTTCCGCCAACCAGCCAAGTCAAGAGAAATCTTCTGGCCCAGAGAGTCTTCCTAAAATTTCTTTGCAGGCTTCCTGGGCATCACTGCAATCTTCAAAAGTAAACTGTTCACTGATCCACCAGGTAAGTATCCCTGGGCCTACCATGCTTCCATGTATTAACAGCCAGATATTACAGCTTCATTTGAATCTGTAAGCAGGTCATGATCAGTGCAGCTGAGAAGAAAAGAGAAGAAAATAGAAGAGCTGTACAATACCTTCTAACTGGTAGCCCTTGGAGACTTTTATCTGGGTATACACATAAGGTTTGCACTCTTTCATTATAAAGCAGCATTCCACACATCATAATAGATGTATGAGAAACAGTTTACAAAACCAGCTCTGTCTGTATAATGGTGTGGGATCCTCAGAACTTAGATATATACTTCAAGGGCTGTATAATAGATAAACATAGAATGATTCCCCCCCCCCTTGTTTGTTAGTGTGTTTTTCTCTTGCTTCGTTGGTTTGGCTCTCATTATAGAAAGAAGCACGTGTCTGGGGACAAAGCAGTTAGTAGTGGGGAGCTCTGGAGAAAAGAAGTAGGTGAAGAAAATGAGGGTAATGGTGAGACAGCAGGAGTGTGTCCAATAGCACTGAAAAGGGTCACTTTGCTGGGAGTGATCTGGGAATGATTTCCCTAAAGTGCCCTTTCCATCTGCCAGAGACTCCAGCTTGGCCCCAAAAAGCAATTGCTCTACATCTGGACTGAAAAGGTCCAGCTTTCGCATAAATCAGGGTCTGGCTGGAGTGTAGTTCCCAGTATGTCATGTGACCACCAGGAAATAGATCACACTGGACATTCCACAAGTGATCCAAAATGCTATCTATTTCCCCATGCGATCACACTCTGAGTTATTCATTTATTTAGTTGACTTTCCCCAATTTCCACAAAATGCAACCTGTTGCAGGAAAAGTTACTGCTTGTCAATGCATTATTTCCAAACTCTGAACATGCTGTAGTGATGTCTAGCAAATCTGATTTTTTTTTCAAAGTGAGAGGAGATAAAGTCAAGGAGAATAATGCTCTTAGTTGTTACTAGTCAAAATGGCTATATATTTCCTCCAGTATGTGGGGTGGGGGGACTCTCGGAATACCTGAAATAACAATTGCCAGGAATATATATAGAATGGCTCTATTTACACTCATGTCCTGCCTGCAGGGCTCCCAGAGGCATCTCTTTGGCCACTGCATGAAGAGATTGCTAGACTAGGTAGGCCTTTAAGCTGAGCCAGCATTACTCCTCTTATGTTCTTATGCAACACTGAAAAGTTGGAAGGCTCACAGAAAGAAGATGATCGAGTGGGTGGCCTAGAAACAATGTACAGAAGTATGAATAGCACAGGGACACTCCAGAGAGAGAAATGTCTTTGTCTCATGTAATATTAAAACAGCTGTACATCCAGTTATATTTTCCTGTACTAGATTCAGGGTACAAAAGAGTGAAAAGGAAATATTTCTCCATGCAACATTTAATTAATGGACTTAATGCATTGCCACACTGTGCTGCTATAATGGCAACCACTATCTTTGATAGCTTTTAAACAGACTTGCTTTTGAATAAGCAAACAGGTGTATCACTGTCTATTCGGCATGATAAAAGTTAAAGGAACCTCCATGTCTAGAGACAGTTTGTCAAGTATTAATGGATGAGTTTCAATTGTTGAGACCTGAGGATGTGGACAGGGTGCTTGGATCTGTCCGTTCTACCACCACTCCACTTGACCCTTGCCCATCTTGGCTAATTGGAAGATCTGCCAGGGTGGTTCGCACTTGGGTCCAGGAGGCCGTGAATGCCTCTTTGAGAGAGGGAGTGGTCCCTATCATCTTGAAAGAGGCGGTAATGTGGCCACTCCTTAAAAAGCCTAACCTAGACCCAAGGCTTGTGGTTAACTACCGACCAGTGGCAAACCTCCCTTATTTGGACAAAGTCTTGGAGTGGGTTGTGGCTGGGCAACTCCAGGTGCTGCTGGATGAAACTGATTTTCTGGATCCATTTCAATTGGGTTTCAGGCCAGGTTTTGATACAGAGACTGCCTTGGTCGCCCTGTACGATGACCTTTGCCAGGAGAGAGACAGGGGGAGTGTGACCCTGTTGATACTCCTGGACCTCTCAGTGGCTTTCAGCACCATCGACCATGGTGTCCTTCTGGATAGGCTGGCTGGGTTGGGAGTTGGGGGCACCGCTTTACAGTTGTTCCACTCCTTCCTGGCTGACCGTGTCCAGAGAGTGGTGCTGGGGGACAGTTGCTCTGTCCCATGGCATTTATGTCATGGAGTTCCTCAGGGCTCAATACTGTCCTCCATGCTGTTTAACATATACATGGAACCGCTGGGAGAGGTCATCAGGAGGTTTGGGCTGAGGAATCAGCAATATGCTGACGACACTCAGCTCTACCTCTCATTTTCCACCAATCCAGGTGATAACGGTTTCTGTGCTGAGCTCGTGTGTGGACCTGATAATGGACTCGATGAGCATTAATAAATTGAAACTCAATCCAAACAAGACGGAAGTGCTGTTAGTGGGTTCTTCGCCGGACAGGTTAGAGGGCCATTTCCCTGCCCTGAATGGGGTTACACTCCCCCTAAGGGACAGGGTCCGCAGTCTGGGGGTGCTCCTGGACCCCAGTCTAACTCTGGAAGCCCAGGTGGACTCGGTGGCCAGGGACGCCTTCCTTCAGCTGCAGAAATTATACCAGCTACGGCCCTTCCTGGATGAGCGGAGTCTCATGACAGTTGCCCCTGCACTGGTAACATCTCGTATAGATTACTGCAATGCGCTGTATGTGGGGCTGCCTTTGAAGACAGTCTGGCAACTGCAGCTGGTCCAGAATTGAGCTGCGCGGCTGGTGAGTAGTGGGGCCGCTAGGGGACACATAAAGCCAATTCTTTTTAAAGTACATTGGCTACCAGTTGCTGCCCGGGCCCAATTCAAAGCACTTGTTTTCATGTATAAAGCCCTAAACAGCTTGGGCCCTGGATACCTGAAGGACCGCCTCCTTCCATATGAACCTACCCAGCAGTTAAGATCTAGCCAGGGGGCCCTTTTGAAAAAGCCATCCCTCAAGGAGGTAAGAGGGATGGCTTGTAGACAAAGGGCCTTTTCGGCAGCTGCCCCCAGACTATGGAATGGCATCCCAATTGAGATTCGTCTGGTGCCGACGCTGATGATATTTCAGCACCAGGTCAAAACCTTCCTGTTCCAGAAGGCTTTTAATTGAAATAATATCAACTGTGGGTCCTGATGGCAATTTTTACAGTATATATTTTAATTGTTTAATTGTTTTATCTTTTTTACTGTATTTTAATTGTTGTGAACCACCCAGAGACCTTTGGGTAGTGTGAGCATATAGGACAGACAGACAGACAGACAGACAGACAGACAGACAGACAGAGAGAGAGAGAGAGAGAGAGAGAGAGAGAGAGAGCGAACCCTAAGGACAAACCAAGGTAGCTAACATCTGCTTTTCTGAGTTATAGAAAAAGAATTCTTGGACTGATGGCACTCTGTTTCCTCTACCATGGCAGCCCCTATGTTTCAAAATGTCAAGAGAAGTTCTTTGACCATCAACAGTCCATGTGATGAAGCTGGCACTACTGATAGGCAGCTAAGAGTTGAAACAGTGTCCATGTACTTATTGGCTGGTATTGCCAGGTGGCAGGTGCAAATTGGGGGCAGACAACAGTGGGCTTGTTTAATGTTAACCTTCCCACTGGATTATAGATTATGGTTCCATTTTCCTGATCCATTGTAATAACAACTAAGAAATCAACTCTGTAGCTTCTCTCCTTGTATCTTGGCTCTGCAGACCACAGAGAGTGACACCTCCCTAGATGACAGCAGGAGCAATATCTCAGAAGGAAGTCTGCAGACCACACTAGAGGACAGCTTGAACCTCAGTGACTCACCACAGTGTGTGCTGGACTTACCGGCGGCATTATGCCCAGTGCCACCAACAGCCACCCAAAAAGCCTTGGTGGTTCCACTTTCCCCTGCCTCGCGGAGGCAGAGCTTGAGGGGTCGGGGGATCTTCACTCTTCGGAACATCAGGCGGCACCAGCGGAGCCACAGCAGTGGAGGGAGCACGAGCCCCGGCTGCCCTTACCATGACTCCATGGACCCTTCCGATGAGGAGGGTGCAGGAAGCAGCCTCAGGGGTGGAGGCAACAACAGTGAGCATTCGGAGACCCTGAGCAGCCTCTCTCTAACTTCTCTTTTCTCACCGCCCCCTCCACCCCAAGGTCTAGCACTGATGAAGAAGTGCAACAGCACCAGCAGTCTCCATGCCAGTGCTTCTGTGCGGAGTTCTGCAGCAACAGAAGCCAAGCCGTTCTACTCAGTTGACCCAAGGGGTTTTTTATCTATGCCTTCTTGGGTGACAGACTTCTGCAAGAACAGTCCTTCTCCCAGGGAGGGCTGTGTACCAGAGGGCTCGAACAGAACTGGGACTCCAGACCACAGCTCCCCAGTTCCTTCTGAGTTGCAACTGGAGAGTGGAGTCAGCAAGAGGAACAGATGAGTCACCTTAAGGCCAAAAAGGAAGAATGAAATGTGAACCAGGAGCGTGTCTTGGCTAGCAATTCCTAAAAAGCAGTTCCAAACAGGAGGACTGTACAAAAGGAAACAAGCAACCACGCAGAATATAAATATGTACGTCCGTGTGTGCGTGTACATGTGTGCGTATGTATGTGTGGAAAACAGACCTTTTTTTGTACCATACCTCAGAGACACATGAGAGCAAAAGCAATATGCGAACACCCTACCCACGTATGGGACCATCGCTTCTGCAAAGACAGCAGTGGGACAAAAGGAATCAAAAGATGGCAATGCTGGGTGAAGAGGGTGAAGAACCTCCAGCCAAATTCTTGGCCGAGGGCAGACGTTTACTCCTCTGTGTATACAAATATATATGTACAGACATATAGAATGATTTATTTATTTTTATTACAGAGAGCTTAGGACTTCCAGAAAGTGCTAAGTGTGGAAAGGGCAGGGCAAGGGAAAATTAATTTCAAGGTTAAATGAGGAACCAAGATGGGTTTTAGGGCCTGGGGAAAAGTATATTGTTTGTGCTTCTGTTCTGGGTGGGAGAAATATCTGCTGCTAAGATCAAGGAGTGTCATGATGAGCTAAGATATGGGAAGTATTCTGATGTGTGCGTGCAGCTAAGGGTGGTTGTCTCAGTGTTGCTGAGGTAGTGGCAGTGAGGTGCCATTTATTAAATGTTAACTCTGAGGATCTTGCTCATCCCACTGAAAATTCTAGGCGGGAGCATTACAAGCACAGAAGTGGCGGTGTGACAAGAAGATAATGAAAAAAATGAAGTTGAAGATCGAGCCATCAACAAAGAAAAAATGTAGTGGTGGTAATTGCTGAGTGTTCTGTTTCTCATTTTGCAAAAAATATATATATATGCTGCTGGGAAAGAACTGCTCTGTTGTTAAGGATTTAGAGTTCAGAGTTTATTTTCCTTACTGTTTGGAACTTGTGAAGAATCTATTTTAGAAGCCCAGAGGTGCAAAAACCATCTATAAAGAAAGGTATGCTATTTTTACAAATATTTTGAAAGAAAAAAGTGAGAGAGAATGAGCAATTAAAATATGGTTAACTTCTCTGTGTCTAAAGTGGGACTCGTACTTTGACCCACCAAAGTGTATTCATGAGTAATCTTTAAAGTGAGAGCCTTTTCTCACCCAATGCTTTTCTTATTTCTTTGTAATCCAATCAGTGTGGGTGTCTGTCGGATTGCATCTGATGGGGTTCCTCCATTCATTCTTAGAATTCAAAGCAATTGGCCCTGTTTTGGCCCTGACATCAGAAAGTGCTAGTGAGGTCTAAAGTACACAACAAGGCATAGCATTACTCATATCTTTTTTTAAAAAATGATCAATAACTGTTGTCAAGAGATCAGGATTGAGAATAAAGGTGCAAGGAGAAAACCTCTTCCTTTACAACAGTTTTAGCTAAACCCTATGTGACCTCCCAGAAGCTGCTGTTTGGCACAGGACAGAGATGTCTATGGATGTCAATTGTAGCTTCCTTTCCATGTCAGATATGAATTTGGAGGGTGGTTTTATTCAGGACTTTACCACAAAAGGAAAGGATTAAACTGCCTTCCAGTTAGTACACGATCATGACTGGGCCTTGGAGAAGCTGCTGTTTACCGTTTTGAAAAGAAACACGCAATGACACCCAACTGCATATTTAAAGTTACATGTAGTTTGGTCTTTAGAGAGCAAGAAAAAGTGTGTGTGTGTGTGTGTGTTCAGGTATGTGTATATGCAATATGGTGGGTTATTTGTTTACTAGTGAATGTTGGAAAGAGTTGCTGCTCACCTTTTCAGTGCTTTACAGATGGAAGGTAGACTGATCAGCAGTAAGATTGCTGGCACTGAGAGATTGCTTAGATGGGTTGGAATTATTAGCAAAATCAGAAAAGTCAGCTTTTCTCTCCCTATTGTAGAACACATTCCTAGTGACTCAGTCCCCATTTCAGGGTGCCTTTTAAAAATCAATTTGTACTTTTCCACTACTAGCCAATTCCTCTTTCAGAAAGACTGGTTTCTGGAAGGTGTATGTTACTGTTTTCAGATTAAAGACAGGAGCAGGATATGCAGAGATACTATTTTTAATACAGGATTGCCAAAAAGAAGTGGAGGGAGCAGCATGGCAGGCTTCAGCCAGAAGCTCAGTCCACAAAAAACAGCAAGTGAAGCTCTCCACCGCATGGAGATGAACTTTTTTCACCCGTTTATTGCTTCAGATCAAAGCCTAGTTCAAAGCACATCTACAGGGTTACTTGCAAAGTTCTGTCCTGGTTTGGGGCAACTGACTTGAAGGGCTTTGGAAGAGAAACAGACAGTAGGATCTGAACCCTGTTTCCTTCCAACATGCTTTTCTCTATTGCGATGTGCATACCCAGGATGGAGGCTTGCTTACTTTCATAATGAAACAATTCTTCCCCCTGTTAGATGGAGTTGGCCATATCTGCCTCTGTGGGCCCCCTTCAAATACTCGGGACCCAGGTTAAGGCCCTTTTAACAGCCATGACTGCAGCCTAGAGAGTGTAAGAAGACAAAGCATTGCTGATTCAGATATCAAAATAGCTGCTCAGTTCTATATGTAATGAGGCAGTAAATACCAAATGTGTCACAATGAACAGGAGGTGGAATTATGATAGAGAATTGATCTCTTAGAAAATAATATATCTTTTTTAGAGAGTGCAAAAGCTGAATTGAGCAGTGTCTAACAGTCTGGTGGACAAGACAACAAGAGCACCCACTGCTTTAAAGAAGTCACTGGTCTGCATTAATAAAGCAATAAGAGTGGTCTTAATTTTCATTGTTTGTTTTTTGTCCTGGTTCGTGGCCTGCCTCCTGCCTATTCTTTCTGGAGCAGGAGAGCTAAGTGAGCAGAGATAAAGGCAGCTCTCCCTCTCAAAGTATACCATCTTTGCAGAAATGAGGAAGGAAAAAGTCTTTAGTTACAGATTTAAACTGATCAAATCATGTTCATTGCCACCATTTTTGGTTGAGACTAGACCCAGCCCAATTTATTCTGTTAATCATGAATTCTCTGACCATGTGTCTTTATGGATAAGTAATCATATAACAGATCTGGCTCCCATGCAGAAATCAACACAGGCACCATAACTTACACTGTTCACAAAAAGAATGGTATCAAAATATATTCTAGGTAGATCCCATTGACAATATGATCTGCTATTGTACCACATATGCTTTTTAAAAAATGTTTTAAAATAAGGTGTCTCCGTGATGTAAATGGAAGCACAGATTATTTTATCAGGGAAGTGTGCTTTCTGATTGGAAAGTGACTGTTCTGCCAGAGCTGCCAGATGGTCATTTAGAATGCCTGTGAAACCTGGTTTATTTCATTTGTTTCTGAACACGTACAGTGGGGTCTTGACTTGAGAACTTAATCCGTATTGGAAGGCGGTTCTCAAGTCAAAAAGTTCTCAGGTCAAATCTGCATTTCCCATAGGAATGCATTGAAAACCATTTGATCCGTATCTGCTCTTTTCCGTCCATAGAAACTAAAGGGAAGCTGCTATTCTGCCTTCGACCACTAGAGGGGGATATTTTGTTTCTTTTTTTCTTAGGTCAAGAAAGGTTCAGGGAAGGCAGGGAAAATACAGTCCAGGCAGTACCAGGCAGTCCGAAGACTGTCTCCCAATCCACTCTCTAAACGCTGGGAGGAGTGAGGAAGCAGACAGGCACCCTTTTCACTGGCCAACAGTTAACTGAAAGTTCAAATTTTGCACTTTCCCTGCCTCCCACGTGGATTTTTTTCAGTTCTTAACTCAAATCTAAGTACTTAAGTCAAGTCAATATTTTCCTATGAGAGTGGTTCTTAAGTCAAAATGTTCTTAACTCAAGCCATTCTTAAGTCAAGACCCCACTGTACACCTTTCTGCCACTGTAAATTGACCTTTGGGTAACCAGTGGAAACAATGGGCGAGGCGGCAGAAAGGAAGGAGGGACAGATGGGTGCAGGACAGGGAGGGTCTGCTGGCAAAGTTGCTTGTCCCTTTAGAAAGCTTGGCTTCTTCTGTCACTTTAAGAATGTTCCAGCTGTTCTGTGGGAGGTAAAGATACAGGAAGGATGTGCCAAGTTATTCTCTCACAGCTACTCCTCAATCTTGCTGTAGGGTATTTTCCTCCTTGTCAAGCAGTTTGTGTGTGCAGACTTCTTTGCCTTGCCTCACTTTTCCTCTCCAGGCAGCCTTTCATAGAACAAAGTTTAAAATGGGAAGAGAGACCCAGGAGAAACCAGCCAGGGTGTTTGGGAAACTGGGCAGCTGATAACTGCTTCAACATTATTAAAGGGACAGAAGCAGCCAAGCTTTCTAAAGGGATGTGCATCTTTGCTAGTAGACCTTCTCTCTCCCTCACCTCACCACAGCAGTAAGGACAAGTGGCCAGCATGAGGGCAGGGCAGCCAGGCGAGTGCAGGACAAAGTCTCAAATTCAGCGATTCTAAAAACCAGTGTAGCCCCCTTAACTGAGATACAACACAGTTTAAAATGGGCATTAAACATTTTCCCAAGAGAATGCACACACCAACCCAAATACTATGTGACACCCCCATGATTTTGAAATCAATACCATTTAGAATGGAGTTTATTGTGAGGCAAATGTAAATGTAAACAATCCTTTACTTTTAAAAAATGTATCCTACAAATTCTTGCAGAAACTCTATGGATAACTTGATCCAACATTATTTCGTGAATATGCACTCACATGATCATCCTGATACATTTGGACCGAAAGCATTCCAAAATGAACTGGAATTCTGAAGGAAGTTGACAGTGTTCTTAGCTCTACTTGCAAGCTGGAAACATCAAAATTAAACAGTCAGAAAACTCTTATGCAAAAACAATATATGTGCAGTTTGAAACTTTCTGATTTGTTTCTTTTCTCTTTCACACATTCCTATGAGTCTGATACCAGTTATTGTTTTATTGACTCTTGCATTTCTGGAGCTGAGTTTCTGGCTTGCAGATTTTCCAAAATCTTGTACAGTGGGGTCTTGACTTTAGAACAGCTCAAGTTAAGAACATTTTGACTTAAGAACCACTCTCATAGGAAAATATTGACTTGACTTACATACTTAGATTTGAGTTAAGAACTGAAAAAAACCACGTGGGAGGCAGGGAAAGTGCAAAAATTGAACTTTCAGTTAACTGTTGGCCAGTGAAAAGGGTGCCTGTCTGCTTCCTCACTCCTCTCAGCGTTTAGAGAGTGGATTGGGAGTCTTCAGACTGCCTGGTACTGCCTGGACAGTATTTTCCCTGCCTTCCCCGAACCTTTCTTGACCTAAGAAAAATAGAAACAAAATATCCCCCTCTAGTGGTCGAAGGCAGAATAGCAGCTTCCCATTAGTTTCTATGGACGGAAAAGAGCAGATACGGATCAAATGGTTTTCAATGCATTCCTATGGGAAATGCAGATTTGACCTGAGAACTTTTTGACTTGAGAACCGCCTTCCCATACGGATTAAGTTCTCAAGTCAAGACCCCACTGTAATAGGACCATGTACTGGAGACTTAATCTGGAATTTCTGAGGGCTGTCCATCTGTTTGGTGACGCAGGGGAGGTGCCTTCCCAAGTGTAGAGAGACTGCTCCGCCTTCTGAAAATAGACATTCATGTCTACAACCAAGATTGTCTTACTCAAAAGTAAGTGTAGTAGGCCTGGCCTCTATGGCAACATTGTCTAAACTACAGGTAAAAGTGAAAACAAGAACTGTGCTGCTAGCACATTGACCTGCCATCTCAGCTTTGAATCTGCAATGTCTTATGTTAGCCTTCATTATAGGAATATTGTGTCCCCTTTTTAAAGGTGTTGCTGCTAATTTGTTATTATAAAGAACACAGTGAGCTTATATTATGTAACACTGTGGCATTTAGCTTACATTTATAACAGAACAAAGATCCACTCATTACCAACAAAAACCCATCCTTCCTTTAAAAAAATGAAAAGGATTCCTCTTGCTTGTGTTTTCACTATTCATGTTAAAGCAAAAGGCTTCTGGCCTAGGAAAGAGAGTTACTATGGCAACTGAGGACTAGGTTATCTTTGGAGAGTATTTTGCCTCTCCTTTCTAATTATTTACTAATGGTTTTGATGTATGAGGGAAGATATCAATCCTTTCCAGAGTGTGAGTAGTTGAGAACAAAACAATCAAAATTAAAATTGGTTATTTCTGCACATTAACTTGGAGGGAAGTTTCTGTTCTGTATTTGGGGCGAGGGATCTGTTTATGTCTGGTTGGTTTTGCTCTGTGTAGGGGCTTTTTTTTGTTGTTTTTGTTTTTTTTTTTGGTCCATGCCCTTTAGTAGCAAGTCAGGGCAAGATGAAAACTGCCTTGTTTCTGTGTTCATTTGGGAATTTCTTCCATCTCAGAAGCTGCACAGGGAGGAAAGGTGTCTCACTAGACCTTCTCCCCAGTCATGAGGTAAACAAAAACAAAATGCAGGAGACAAATGCACTTTGTGTCGAAAGTTTTGAACATTAAAGCGTTGCCTTTTTATAAGAACTGCTGTGGTGTGATGTTATTCTGCCGGCGTTTCCAATGTGGCGCTTTTGCTCCATTGCAGGGTTGTTGTGGGCACAAATAAAGACTGGAGCAAGAGCCCTCTGGCCCAAAGTACAGTCGGGGAGAGAACCTAGCAGTACATGCTTTGGGGGCAGGGAGGGCAGGCAATGGAGCCAAGGCAACAGAGGTAGCCCCTCTTTTTTGAGTTAGTCAGTCTGGAAACCAACAAAGGGAAAAATGAATGAACGAACGAATAGTTTATACTTGAATGATTCCGATGCAAATAATCCCATTGCACAAAGCTGATAGATAAGCAGGATCACCGTACATTTGGAATAAACATTAGGAGTGTTTTGGGACTCTGCTGACAAGTCAGAGAGTGGGGTTTTCAGGCTTCTTTGGTGCAGCCACGAACTGAAAATATGGCTGTTCAAATTTTTCTTTCTAATATTTTGAGTTGCTATGTACCTTTACACCCCATTTAGGCCAAAGAGCATTGAACATTTTCTTCTTCATGTGAAGAAACACTTAGCACCTTTGATTTTTTCAGGTTTCACTTCTCACACTAGGCACAAGCTCTCTGTGTCTTCCAAATGGAAACTCCAGCTTTTATTGACACAAGCGTAGGTCTGCATCTGTTATATGTCAGCTACAATCCACCAGCATCTTGAATGCCCTGAACTTCTCACTCCTGTGATGGACCAAAGAATGAGATAAGGCTATACCATCTCATCTACTTTGATCCTAAACATTTGTTTTCTGATTTGGACATTGCCTGTGAAACATATTGAAGCATTTTATCTTTGGTTATTTGAGGTATCCTGGAGTCAGAAACCAGCACACCATGCAAGTTTTTGAAACCGTGGGAGCAAGGAAAGGACATGAAGGGTGTACTGTGGAATGAATTCCTAAAATCTGCAATAATTAAGGGCCTGATCACATGACCCAAAAGAACCCCAGTTCTATAAGTTCTTTTCATACTTCTGTTGTGCTGAATCATGGTTACGTGGTATATATACTAGCAGGAATGTTTCCATTTGTTTTAACTTACCAATTAATTTTTCCCTATTTGAACCACTATAGCAGGCTACAAGTTCAAGCCTTCTCTTCTCCCTACCTGACCCCTTTGCAAGGGCTAAAAAGAGAGAGAGAAGAAATAGGAAATGCCCCTGCTCAAGCTTTCTTTCAAAGGGAAGGGGGAAGACTGTTGCCTTCAAGCTGTCTCCTGCTGTTTTTACTAGCAGCAGTTACTTGGCTATTTAAGGAATCATCTGTCTTGTTATGAGCCAACTTGTCAATACAGTGTTACCTCGATTTACAAACATCTCCACTTGCTAACGTTTCGAGTTACAAATGGCTCAGTTTGCAAAATGTTGCTTTGACTTGCGAACGGAGCCTCAACGTACGAACACAAAAAAACCCCCTTCCTGCCCTTTTTTTGACCTAAGTTCATTTTAGGTCAAAAGAAGAAAAAATTCTCCTCCTAGTGGCAGAGTACGGATTAACTGCCTTTGCATTAGTTCCTATGGGAATTAATGGCTCTACTTACAAACAGCGCCTCGACATGCAAACAAAAAACAGCCTGAATGGATTAAATGGTTTTCAGTGCATTACTATGGGATATCTTGCCTTGACTTACAAATTTTTCGACATACGAATGCCGTTCCAATACGGATTAAGTTTGTAATTCGAGGTAATACTGTATACTTTTAAAAGGTTGTTGTTGTTTTCAAAAAGGGTACAACCATAGTGGCCATGAAGTGGCCACAGTGTCCAG